AGTGCGCCAAATTGCTGGGAGTTGTACTCGTAAACTGCCGTTCTATGCCACACTGATGGCAATCAAATTCAATCAATTTAATTAAGCCGCCATGGGGGCGTGGCATTATCGTTGGGGCAGGGTCCTCGCTCCCCTGTCGGATACGCAATATATGCCAGAGACTTGTCTGTGACTGTGTGCGTGTGTGTTGTGTTTTATTTTTAACGTACGTTACGCACGTAGTGGAATGCTAAAAATATAATGTTGTACGAGCATACACTTGTCTTTATATAGCCGCCATAATATCGAGTAACAAACTGTCTCGGAGAAAGCATAGGAGAAAGCTCTACGCTGGTTCTGGTGCTGCGCTTAGCAGGTTGAGGGTTTGGTGTTCTTCGGGTAATCTCTGGGCCTTGGCTACATAATCAAGCGGCCATAAAGCAGACGATGAACGTGCCAGCAACACGTACAAATGGCCCAAAAGGGATGTCAGTTACCCAAACTATTGCTCTGGCCAACAAAATTCATACAAAATGTAGGAGAAATGACTTCATTTTTCCCACCAATCATATCCACACACACACACACACACACACACACACGCACACACCGCACAACATACACATCTCTGTTGTTACAGTTTCCCGGAATGTCCCTCGTAGAGTGGAGTTGCCTTCTTTTTATTATTTTTGTGTTCTGTAGAAATTTGTAATTCCCCAATGAGTCTGAAGCTCGGGGAAATTCTCATGCTAAACACGAAAAGAGAGCGATTTACTGGCACTTTTTCTTTATTTTCTCCTCTCAGGAATATGTGTGTGTGTGTGTGTGTGCGTCTCTGCCACTGCCACTGTGTGGCAGACAACATAAATAACATGAGCCGCAGCGAGGAACAAGATGCCAAACATGCGCTCGGTTTTTCCCTCCATTTCCTCTGTGCTTTTCTTTTGTAGCCAAGCCGCTGGATAATAAAAACCAAATAAACCAAGAACGAACCCAACACACCTAACGCCCTGCCTCCCTACCACCGTATCCTCCCTCCATCGGCAGGGGGAAGCCGCAAACAGAGAAGAAAAGAAAGTGAAATTTCACACACGCGCCGCAAAAAGAAAAGGAAATATCTCCTCTTCATGCATAAATAAATAAGAAGCGTGAACTTGAATTGATTTGCTTAAGAGCACCCCGCTTCTTTCTTTTTTAACCGTAAAAACATCATAATTATAACGAGGTAGCAATTTGTATGGCAACGGGTCGTATGAGCATCGCTGGGGCATAAGGAACTTTTTTATGGCACAAACAGGCATAAAATTTAAACCGAATGTCAAGAGAAAAAGGTTAAATGCAGCTGTAAAAATTGTGGGCCCCAAAGGGCTGGCTGCAGCCTGCTGCTGGTGGGGGGGCAGTGGGAGCCTGGACAAGATTTATGAAAAATTGCCCGCTGCTGCTGCTGCGTCGAGGGGCTTCACAAGTAAACAAGATAACATGGCCGAAACACACACTTACAGACACACTTACACGCATGCCAAACACACATGCATATGTATGTGTGTATGTCCCTGTGAACGGAAATGAAAATGTAAACTTTATGACAGAACTTTCGACTTCTCTCTCTCATTTTTTTTTTTTTACCAGCCCATCCCGCTGCCGGCTCCTGCTGTTCGTTTGGATTTCCGTTCGTTCTTTCCCCATTTTTCCTGTTTTTTTTTTATTTTGGTTGGCCCACCAACGATGCGGCTGTATGTTTATCAAATAAAATATATAAATCAAAATATATATGGCCTCAGGTCATGCCACGCCCACTCATACTTTGACCCCTTTTCAGGCCCAAAAAAAGAAACGTGTGCGTAAAAAACTAAGAAGAAAAATATTTTCAAAGGTCGAGGCGAGTGATACCCTGAAAGATCAGATTCATTCATTGAAATCTATTTCACTCGCTATCGCAGAAACTTCTGCACAAAATTATACGAGTAATGCCCTTTTTGTAGGGTATATAAACTGAATAGACAACCCAGAGGAGTGGTGGAGTAACAGTAGCGAAATAAATAATCAAAGCTGCCATAATTTTCAGTCTCGTTTTTATTTTGAATTGAATTTTATCTGAATAAACCAAAAAAAATGCCAAAGCCATTTTGTGGCCAATGCAAACAACAACAAACATTGCATAAATACCCAGGGAGAAAGAGAAAGAGACACAGGGGCAAGCATGGGTTAAAACTGGGTTAAAATGACAAAACGGAATTGGCATCGGGAGATGACTGTAAACAACAATTTTTCAGTTAAACATTTGTTGGCCTTTCTTCGCCCTCTTCTTCGTTCACTTCACTGCTCATCACCTTTCTCCCTCTCTCCCACTCTCTCTCCCTCTCTCTCTTTCTGTGTCTGTCTGTTATTGCACATTTCCCCACAAAAATTGTAATTTCATTTTTATTGGTTTTTTTACAAATTCGTTTGCCGTTACTCGTTTCTGTTTATGCATTTTAATGGCTCGAAGAAGAAAAATTTGGCAACAGAATTTTTGGCCTGCAAGCAGCCGGCGCTTTGGCAGCACTCATTCTCCTCCATCTCCGCCCCAGACGTTTGATCTGTGCCCCCTGCCCTGCCCTGCCCAGCCGTGCACAGTCTCAACCATATGCTGCCCCACCCCGACCCTGGCACAATATCAAAGTCAAATTGTGTGTAAAATTCTGTTGTTGCTGCTGCTCGTCTTCCTCTTTCTCTCTTAGCCCAAATGTAATCATCAACGGCGGGAAATGTTGTAACCAATTCAAAGCTGATGACTAAATGATGAGGGAAAATGATGAGGAAAAGCGCTGGGTGAGGCAACGGAGGGAAAGCAAAGCAGACAGGGCATGCGTCATGTTTCCATATCATTAGAGTTATTTATTGAATCAATTTGATGGCCAAAATTCAACAGGCAATCCCCTGCTTATGGATCATCAGGCATAACCCATCCAAACTGAATATATTGGCTTGTCATCCAAGAGGATTACCCAGCCCCAGCCCCATTCCCAGTTCCTGCCACAGCCCCAACCCCTACACATATCCCAATCCTAATTGCATTAATTTACCCCTGTCTGGCAGCTCGATATTCGAGTGGGAAAATGGGAGCTCTGCACTGACTGAAAATCCCTTGTAATCTGAGCTTGCCAAAGAAATCATGGTCACAATCCTTTGGCTATAGTCTGGCTGGCACTCTTCCACATTCTGACATTCTGCCGCTCCGACACTCTGAGAGTGTCGCTGCCTCGATGTGCGGCAGAAGTTCTGCAGAAACTTGTTGAAAAATTGCAAAACGTTAATCAAAGTTAAGCGGCGTAACGCAGACGGCAATGCCGACGTCAAAGTTAATTAAATTACAAAGTTATTTAATACTTTGGGAATCGTTGCCGTTTGCCGGTGGCTGCCAGGATGGAGAAGGATAGACACTGAGGCAGCCAGTGCCGTGCCGTGCGGTGGCTGCCAGCAGGAATCAGTGAAGCATCCATCCATCCAGCCAACCAGCCAGGTAGCCATTCAGCCAGCATCTGCTCTTGGTCGCTTTGAACTCTGGCCTCTGTCCCGGTGCCCTTTGCCTCATTTGTTCTGCAGCAGGTGGCAGCAGAGCAAAAGGCACCTGGCACCAGACAGCAACTCTATCAGAATGAAGGCAACGGCAACGTGTTGGCAGCTCTTAATGAAATGTAATTGAAATAAATTAATTTTTCTCGCACTTTTCCGTCGAGTGCAGGGCTGGGCCTGCAGCCCTACCCCAGCTTGTAGTTTTATTCAGTGTTAAGCCTCCATATTTATGCATTCTTTTTGGGCTTCTTCTGGTGCTTGTTCGCCTTGTTCACCGTAGAACTCGAACGCTTGTTTGATTGCTTACTGGCCTTATCTTTTGCGGTGCCTGAAGTTGCAGCCGCTGACGTGGAAGGCTTTTCTTCGCGCTTCTTCTTATCGGTATTCTTGTTTTTTGATTTCGGCACTTCGACTGGACTTTTCTTGTTTCCCTTTGCTTTTGCCACATCAGCAGTGCCAATTATTTTTGGAAACATTGCAAAACTCAAGTCAGCTTTCGAATCTTTGATTTGCTTCCTAGTAGATCTTGTTCGAACTTCGTTGGTTCTTTTACCAGAATTATCGCTTCCGGAGACTGAAGTGGAAGCCTGCTCAACCTCGTACCCGCGCACCTTGAATACATTTTTCTTGTTTTCCTCCACCTTTGGCCCCTTCTTCTGGGCTCTCGCTGAGCCTACAATGGATAGCAGAAAGTTAATCAAGTGGAAACGATAAAATGAAAAAGAATCAAAGCCCAAGAATACCTTTAGAAGTGGCTCTTTTTCCCTTTTTTGGTGGATCAGCTGTGTCCATCATTTGTGGAACCTTCGCCAGATTCAAGTCAGCTTCCACATCTTTGTTCTGCTTCTTCTCGGACCGTGTTTCATATTTTTTGGCTTTCTTGCTGGCATTTTCCTTTCCTGAGCCCGAAGAGGAAGCCTGCGCAACCTTTTGTTCGCGCTTCTGCTCAGCGATAACTCTTTTTTTGGATATGGCCACATTAACTAGACTTTCTTTGGTTTTCTTTACTTGTGACACAGCAGCTTGTCCAATATGAAATATGTTCTGCTGGATTTTCGATGAGTCTATACAGGCAAGCAGTGGATAATCAAGTGAAAACAATAAATGAAATAGCTTCAAATACCAGGAATACCTTTGGTGGTCTCTGCGGTCTTGGGGGAATCCTCAGTGTCGAGTATTTGTGGGACCTTCCCAAGATTGAAGTCAGTTTTCGACTTTTTGTTATATTTCTCCTGCTTCTTGAGCTTCCTTTCAGAACGGGCTCGCTTCCTCTGGGATTTCTTACTGAAACTATCGATTCCGGAGCCTGAAGTGGAAGCCTGTTCAGCTATTTTTACATCGATCGCACGATTCACGGATATCGGAACGTTTTCCTTATTTTCCTCTTCTTGTGACACATCAGTGGCTTTTCCAGTTGGAAATAAATTCCACTGGGAGTTCGATGAGTCTACATGGGAGAGCAGTAAGTTAATTATGTGAAAATAATACCATGAAACAGAACTAAATCCCAAGAATACCTTTGGTCTTTGGCTTTTTTGATGGATCAGCAGTGTCAAATCTCTGTGAAACCTTCTCCAGATTCAAGTCACTTTTAGAAACTTTGCTGGATTTCTCCTGCTTCTTGTGCTTCTTCTCAGAGCGGCTGCTCTTTCTGTGAGATTTCTCCCTGATGCGCTTTCCGGAGCCTGAAGTGGAAGCCTGCTCGACATTTTCTTCGCGCTTCCGTTGAGCGATATTCTCCTGCTCGGTTAGTGGCCCCTTGAATGCATTTTGCTTAGTTTCCTCTACAATGGAAAACCGAAAGTTAATCAATTGAAAACAATCAAAACACACCTTCGCACCTTCAGTTGTCTCTGGAGTCTCGGGGGAATCCACTATCTCAATTATCTCGTCTGTGTTTAGTATCTGTGGTGGATCCTTTACAAGATTTAAGTCAGTCTTTTTTTCTAAAATATCGCCCAGCGCAAGTTCTTTTGGGGTCTCGTTAGGGTCCTTTGTTAGTTTACTAATATCAAATAGGTCATCCATATCGATGTCTTCTCCGTCGCGGGTCATTCCCAAATCGACATGAAAGGGCGTCTTTGGGGTACCAGCAGGCTTTGGTTCCATTAAAAATGGGTTATTGACTTTCATCGGTTGCATATTAAACAGCTCATCCATATCGCTGTAGTTTGGATCGTTGTCTTTCTCGCGGCTCATTCCCAAATCGACATGAAAAGGCGTTTTTGCGGTGCCAGCAGGCTTTGGTTCCATAACGAATGGATTCTTGGCTGCCATCGGTTTCATATTAAACAGCTCATCCATATCGATGTCCTTTGGTTCGTTACCAGAAGGCTTTGGTTCCACAGAGAATGGATTCCTGACTATCATCGGATCCATATTATATGGGTCATCCATATCGATGTCCTTTGGATCGGTTTCTTTCTTGAGCGGCATTCCCAAGTCGACATGAAAGGGCGTCTTTCGTGCACCAGGAGATTTTGGCTCCATAAAGAATGGGTTCTTGAGTGCTGTCAAAGAGAAGAGTATGGGTAGGGTAGGAACTTTGAACCAATTGATGCAGTGGCGTTACCTTGATGGGTGATCGAATCTTTGGTGTCGTATATATCTGTTTTATATGTCTGGTCGCGCGGCATTAGGGCGTCCAAATATGAAGGTCTCTTGGGCGGCTCCACGTCTATTAAATCGAATCGGGAACATGGCTCGTTGAACAACGACACAGTTGGCTTCCTGCTCAAGTGTAGCCTGTTGACGGCATTCTGCTCGTTCAATCGTTTCAGTGCCATCTGCTCACGTGCCTCCACGTAGTCCTTGTCGATGATCGCTATTATCGGTGTCTCCTTGTAGCTGTGTGGGCCGGGAAACGGCCCAATGAAACTGGGAATATTCGGGTGCTTGGCCATTTCCTTCGACGAGGTGGCACCCAGCATTGGCTTTGCCGCCGTGTGATGTTCCCGCGTGCTTGTCTTCGGATCGGGAAGGTCTATCTTGGGCTTGGGCTTGCCCGCATTGGCCTTGACTTCGGCGCGGAGATCTTCGGGCATGATGTTCATGCGCAGAAAGGTGCGCTCCAAATCGAAATATCCCGGCTTGGTGCGGCCAGCGTGATTTCCCCCATCACTCGTCATTTTGGCAATGTCCGTAATTTCTGAATATCAAAAATTGTTCTTAGAGAATTCGATTGGGCTCGGGGGAAGCTCCCCTCCGGTACTTACTGTCGCCCATTTTGCGTGCCATCAAGAGTTTCAGTGACTCATCCTCCACCTCAATGTTTTTCTGCGCCAGCATATGCTCCACCACTTTAGTTAAAGCCTTCTCGAAGATACTCATTTTGTAGAACTCAATAAATGCAGCACACAAATCGGGAGAACAGTTGTCAAAGCAGTGAAAATTAGGATTGTCAAGCTTTGAGCTGAAAAGAGTTGCCATCAAAAGTGTTGTACAATTTTAATGAGTGTTGTTAAGCAAGTTGTTAGCTAGTGTTGTAAAATGTGCCACGTACATTTCATGCGAACTGTACCTGGCATCTCCTTTCCTTCCCTTTCTCACTCTCTTTGCTTTTCTTTCGGTTATTTCCCTATTGGTACCTCCGACATTGTTTAACCCTCGCTCTCTCTCTCTCTCTCTCTCTGTCTCTTGAAATCTTTCGACAATCTTTTCGTTATGCTGAACACAAAAGAGATGCCTCGCTTGGATTGTTTGGGGCAGCAATTAGCTACCGATTTGAAAATGTCGCCGCCACACCCCGAAAGCTAATTAAAATATTTTCGCCTTTTGTGATCGCGACAAACTGCAAACAGCCCAACGTTTTACCCTCTTAGTTTTTCCCCCATAATATGTCGTATCTCGTACATCTTTCCTAATGAGTTATGCAAATATTTGCAGTTGAATGAATTTCCAAGAAACCGAAGACAGAACCCAGACCCAGACAGACGATGGGCTCCCAAGTGGAGGCTGCCTGTTTTACTCGTAAATGTTTGGCTATTGTCTGTGAAATGACAAATTTTTCCCGACTCTGTCATGGATTGGCCGAAACGTGAAGCATAATCAGTCATAAGGCAAACAGTGGGGAGAGTGGGCAGAGTGGGGAGTGTGGAGGCCCCAGCCACGAGGTTACTGTGTCAGACCGCAAGGGAAAACTAGGAGTAGGAGTAGGAGTAGCAATACGAGTCTCTGAGTACTTTAGATGCCAGACAGCTACGAGTAGATCTGCCAGAGATTCGCATTTGTGACGCCCCAGAGGCTGCTGCAATTGAACAAATTGCCTGCTCCTGCCCCGCTACCCACCAACCTCTCTCCGTCTCACTCTCCATGGTCTTTACGATCATGATGATGATAATGATGATAATAATGATGATGTGTATGTATTACGAGGAACGGTCGTGCTTTGTGGGCGTTCATGGCTGACATTTGTGCAAAGAACCCGCTCATATCAGCCCGATCTGTTGTCTGCCTTTAAGCGCTACCGTTTAAGGCTCTGTTCGGTCATGTATCCGTCTCCCCTTACCGCCTGCCCGCCTGCAAGTCTTCCCCATTGCCATGCAAATATGTGCGGTCGCATTTGCGGTTACACCCATTGTCGCATAAATTTCATTCATAATTAACAAGAGAGGAGCATCATCTGTGGTGGGAGCATTTCACAAGTTGTTTGCTCCGATGACAAACAAAATAATTGCCGCAATTTCCACAGCGATCGCTCGCTCACTTGGCAGAGGATAGTGCAAATGCGATGCAACGATGCAACCAGTGCAGATTGAGCTGTCCAGAGCTGTTCCCCCCACCAAAACGGGCTAATTCAAACGATTAATTCGATAAGCTTGCAGCTGAAATCGGCAAACAGAGCGACAGACAACAGTTGGACAAACCTGCAGCAAATTGATTGAGCAGCCGATTACTATAGAAGTCGCTGACTCTCCTTACCCCCAAGTGCCGCCACGAGTGCCCCAGTCCACGGCAAATTGCCCCGTCGGCTGGACAGGCACAAAGCACAACAAATTGTTCCAGTTTCCGAGGAGACCAGATAAATCTATTGAGATATCGAGACTCGACTTGACTTGACTCTAGACTCCAGTCGCTCGAGGCAATCGCTGGCCGGCTGTCTCTTTGGACCGTTAAGCCCCCCCATGCCAGCGAATTGCATTTTGCCTTAGAACTGTGTACTGCTCCTCGGAGTGTCTGTGGCACGATCCACTGGGTTCCCGTGTTCTTTGGCAGCCCAGCCGTTGATGGAGGGCGGCATAATGGTTATGACAGGCTGTTTGGTGCCGGAACTAGCGAACAGGTTGAGGAGCCACGTTCTCCGGCTAACGGAGCCCCATGAACTTTGCTCCCAAAAGGTCACTGGGGGGCGGCTAACGATGAAGTGAAAGATTCTCGAAAAAAAGCCAAATCGCTGATCAGTTTTTGGATAATGATCATGAAGTTAAGGCCTCATTACAAATCTCCTGGAGCCAGAGCCAAAGCAATCAAAATCAAAGTCTGCACGACTCTTTTTGTGTCCAGTTAAACGGCGTCAAGTGATCGATCTCCGGTCACTGCAACTGGCTAATGACACAATCAATGCAAACTTGCGTAATTAGGGGCCCCGAGGAGCAGATCATAGCAGACAAGAGCCGCCGCCAGATGGTCAATGGTTCGCTGGTCATTCGATTGTCGTCCCACGGAAGCCAATTCGGACGTTTGTCAATCTGTCAAATGTGTGTAAAATGCCAACAACAACAATAACAATTATTGTAAGTTATTATTGTTAAGAAAACAAGTTTACTTGGCCTAAAACCTATCCACAAACAAGCCACAAAAGTGCGGCATCTGAATGAGGTTATGACCGAAAAATTTGTACATTTACATCTGCATGCATACATGCATAAGTATGTACGTACATACATACATGCATATGTAAGTACTTTACAGATGACATCACATATTTAGGCAATGACGTGGCCACAGAGAAAATTTGATTTATTCGCTTGTGCGAGTATGTGGGCATATTTTGTAGGTCCCCCCTTCTTATCAGCAATGAATCTGCAGTGCAGAAAACTATATAAAACCGTCTTTTAGAGACGTTTTTTCCACCAATTTGCAGCTTTCTCTGTAGCTGTTTTACAAAAGCGGTTCTTCTTTTGGGTATTTCTCTGTATTTATATGTAATCCACGCAAATGCGTTAGTTGTATGTACTTACATGAAAAACAGAACCGTTTTGAGTTAAAATAGGAGTTGCTTTTTGTGAATTTATGATCTGAACAGCTATTGCTTTTCGCAGCAATAATTTTTTCTCACACAGTTCTCACACAAAAACTAAATGTCATCCAGTGTCAGGGTTGCATTTATCGATACTTATCAATATGTACTCGAAATAAGTTTTCCCCTTACCTAACACTATTCTTTTGTGCTTATCCTTGCTTTGCTTGCCCAACACTGCTTTCGCCCGCCTCTCGTGAAATTTGTAAATGCTGCGGCCCCCACTCCCTGGCAATGTAATGCATTTGTTTTTTGTTTATTTTTAGAGCTTCTGAGAGCATTTGCACTTTGAAAGTTTTGCTGTAACTACCGTGCACTTTGACATTTGTACGATGGAAAGTTTTTCACTCACTTCACTCCGCAATTGTTGCGTGTTTTTCTCAACCAAACTGGGGGAAATGCTCCTTTTGTATTGCCCTGGCCGTTATGCAAATGGAATGGAAGAGATTGCAAAGAGACAAAGTTTCAATTTAGTTTGTCCTTTATGGAGTTGTGACAAAACACAACGAATTGGATAACAAAATAGCGTAGCATTTTGGCACCGAACAGGCTAGACTCACTTTCTATTTGCAGTTGGTTGAGTGAACCCCCCCACTCGACGTCATGTTCGGCACCGCCTATCTAATCATAGCTCAGGTGACTGACTCCCTATCTAAAGGGGAAAGAAATAGCAAAAAGATAGCAATCGCCATCGTCTTGATTAGTCTCAATTGACACAAATTATGAGACTGCGCCTATATTTGATTGTTCCACGGTTTGTATCGCTGGTACAATACCATTTTTGGGTTGAGCGAATTGAAATTTATTGCCAAAACTCGAGAGGAATTTAATAAATTATCAATTGAACGCGGGAAGCTCGCGGGAAGCTCGTCTTCTCTCTAGCTTGCTTCGTTTTGTTCTCTCTCATATGCAAAATGGCAATTAAACGACAAAACTCGAAATTAAAAGCAGGAAGAGGTGGACTAGACGCATGGCTTGAGGGGCAAACAGGGTGGCAGTGTGGCAATCGGTGGCACATTTATTAATTCAATTTTTGTTTGCTTCACGACGCAAGCATCATCAACGTTCCAGAACAACGGGAGGGAGTCTGCTCCGATTTCGATTTCGATTCAAATTTAAATTCAAATCAACCTTTCAAAGCTGGCGGCAAATTTATGCAATATTTTTGTACATCTACTACTACTCCATCGGGTTCTAGACTTCTTTTGTGCCACTGCCTCTGTTTGTCCGCACCCGACTGTCGCAAAAAAATGCAAAATTTGTGCTAAAAAAAAAAGAAAAGACTTTCTGAGCGGAGCATAATTAGAGACACAGCATCAACAAATATTTAGGTAAAACTCGCGGGGCTAGGGAAGGAGTCTGCGCCTGCGTTTGCCCCTCAGTTGGCCATCTACTCGTATATCTTCACAAATAAACATTTTCAGCTGACAGACATCGAATCCACCGCAATCCAAACAAAACAAAGAAACAGAAACGCGGTTTGGGGGAATGGCATGGTGGAATTATGAAAGAAATGCCAGATCAAACGGAAGGCAATACGGAGTAGAACTGGGGATGGACATTCTCAAGTGCAGTCGATCCAATACTATTATTATTATTTTGCTGACGCCGCCGAGCGCTACTTTGCTGCCATTTTTATTCGCCTTTCAATATGTCAAAATGCTTTTTTCCGGGCATGGAAATTGAAATGGGTTTTCGTTGGCTCTTTGTGCATCAATTAAATACAATGTTGATGGCCAGACCATAAAAATGCTTTGAAAAGTGCCATTCATTGGTTTTTTTCTTTATCTTTTCATTGCAGTTTTTTCAACCGAAAATTTCTACTTGTTAACGGAAGGCATCACTCGAAGGCATCTTTCAACTAGGTAAGCAAATCAATTCGAAATTATGCTAATGCTCTGCCATTGCAGTGAAGTATAACCGATCCATTACCTTGTCAATTATATTAGTTTCGAGTTGGCCCAGACTCGGAATAAATTTCCACTTAAAAAACTTATACACAGTAATAAAAGTGGGAATAAATTTACCAACGTTATCCGGCTGCATATCGTTTCTGCAGTTCATTTTGCTAATGCAATTTGAGCGGCAGGGCACAGGCACTGCCACCCAGCCAGGAACCACTGCCACTAAGCCACCAACACCCACACGATTGTGGCTGCCACTGGCAGTGCCTCTTCCCCGCCCCACCCCGCCCACTGCCATTGTGTTTTCCCTTGGCTTTGCGGCTTGTCAATATTTGCCGCACATTTTGCGCAATGCCAAGCGGCGATTTTGGTTTTCATCTTTTGGTTTTGCTGAGTCTCCGTCTCCGACTCCAACACCGGCTCCGTCTTTCCGTTGCGTCGTGTACGGTTTTCATTTACACTTATTTATATTTATTTCCTCACTTTTCACCAGCTCCCCCTCCCACTGCCAGCCCCCCTTGGGAAAGCGCTAACCCAAAACCCAGCCGGGTACGAGTATTTATGTTGATTCTTTTGTGGCACTATCGCCCATGTGCATTTTTTATTGCACTACCAGGGGGGCGGCAGTCGCAGCCACAGTCACTGCCATAAGTCAGTGATAAGGTGGCGTTGCCAAAGTGGACATTTTTCCTGCGAATGGTGTGGCATATAAATTAATAACTGAATAAACACTGCGACCAATGGGTGGGTGCACGTGGCGAATGCGTAATAAATTTCATGCGACCAGGGATGGCCTTAACGCAACAATTTGCTTAATGCCCGAAACAAATATTGATAGTTGGCCAATATTTAAACAATTTGTTTCAAAGTCGTCACTTACCCACAGATATACTCGTACATATATGTAGGTATGTATATGCCATGCCGTCGAGCGGTAGGAAAGGTGTTGATAATTGTCAGTGAGTCTTGGCTGCACTTGGCTGGCTGCATGGCTAATTGAATGAGTCAATGGAGTAGACCGCAGCATGGCAGATGATTCAGTGTTATCTCTGAATGAAGCACACCTCCGTCATGACTTAGTCACGGAAGATTTTCTCGTCTTGTTTCATTTATGACTTGCTCGCGCAGATCGTTGCCAATTTGCATGCCATTTGTTCTGTCACAGTTTTTTGTAGAATTTGTTTTCCTGCCGGTTTTGACCATTTACGGACTGTGGATTTACGGATTGGCGAGGAACGTAATTTGATTTGAGAGATATCGGGTTTGATTTGTGATTTTTGTTCGTGGCAATTCGGAATGGTTTGCCTTGACATTTGATGCTGGAAAATTTAAATATAGATTAAAAACTGCCAAATGCGGCACTCAGAGAGTGTCGAGAATAGCATCATCATCCATTAGTAGGCACTAATGCCACGCCCACGCCCATGCCACGTACCAGACCATGCCAGACTTTGCATAGCCGTAAAGTCAACAAATCGTAGGACAAAAGAGTATGGGTATAAAATGATGCAGCAGCAGCAACAGCAGCAGCTGGTGTGGTCTGCTCTGAGTGAGAGTGGGAGGGAGAGTAGGAGTAGGAGTAAAAGCTGGAGTGGCAGTCCGATTCCGTTGGCTATAAATTACATTCGAGCGGAAATCATTTTCCATGCATGTCCTGTAGCGCGTAGGTTCAATGCACCAAACCATAGGAAAGGCAAGCGAATGACGGTGCGGGGTGGCGGAAGAAACGGGCCAATTGGAAATGAAAATGTTTTGTTTGTGTCTGCGGAATGTGAAGCGGATATTCAACACTGTTGTTGTAGCTGTAGCAGTAACAGGAGTGTCATCCTGTCCTGCTGGCCGCCTGTCGATCATTGTCAACTCTGCGTATACGTGATGTGTTGAATATTTTCCGGACTAAGAATATTTCATTTCATAATACGATTATGCGCCATGCAAAAACCCAACAATTTCTGCAGCACAAGCACAAAAACCAGAGACGAAGCAACAAATTTCAAGCCTGCAAATGATTTCGGAGCCAAGTCATGTGTGGCAGAAGAAAGGCGTTGGTGGGTGGGAGCGGGAGCGGGAGGGTAGGGCAGAGTGCGGTCAACAAACAAGATAAAACTTTTGATTTATCGTTGACACGAACAACCAGAATAGAAAGAACAAGGAACAAGGGCCAGCAACAGGACCAGTATCCAGTACACAGTCTCCAGAATTTGGTACACAAATGCGTGCGTCGATAATGGAAGCCAGATCCCGGACCAGACCAGACCAGACAGAAAGCCGCCTGCATTTCAGGCAAATTACCCAGGAATGGAAGAGCCGTGTGCCTGCCGAGCATGGTCCATGGTCCAGTGTCAAGTGTGTGTCACGACACGCGCCGACAAATTTGTGGTCCTGCCCAAAAACTGCAAACAACCATAAAATGTCCAGCTACAGCTTCAACTTCAGCTACAGAACCAGCTCCAACAGCACCCAAAATGGCAAATGAGAGATGCTGGACGAGATGCTTCACCAGCGACAAGCAGAACAGACAAACAATGCCCAGCAAAATGGTCAACTTACTTGCCCCTCAGATGCCAGTGCCAAAACAATTTGTGTCCCTCCCTTCTTCCCCCTCTTTCCCTACCACCAAAAAAGCATGAGCCCAGAATTCGTTCGGAAAACAAAGTTCCACAAAATTTGTTTGCTTTTCCAGCCTTAATTTTCACAAATATTTGCTTTCCCATTGTCGCTACTTATTTTCGTGTTTATGATTTTGTTGTGCAAGTTTTGAACTTGAAAAAAAATTAATAGAAAATATTTTTACAGTTCCGTCGCTGGAACGCAACAAAAGTCATAAAAAAGAAAAAAAAAAAACTTCATGTGACAGTTTTATGTCAATGAAAACGACACACAAAAAGTCAGACATATGTACACATATATGTACATATATCGCTATATATAACTCGGCAAAAAATAAATATTAAAAAAGAATACAGATCTATTTACATAGACAGAAAGAGAATGCGAAGATCGCTCTGGCAGAATTTACATCATCGCTGGGAAACACACACTCGAAGAAAATAAATGACTATTTCTGATGCGCGTAGTTATTTAACAAAATATTGTGGCATATAAAATGGAGATAATACTTGCAGTTTTCCGAGTGTACAGAGTACAGAGTGTGAGAACAGGCAACCAGCATCTTCCGGAAGATGATCTTTGTTTGCATGCCCAGATATATTGTATAAAATGTAGGCGGGCATTCACGTGCTTTTTTCAAGTGTAGCGACGACTGATACTGATAGATAGACGGGGGCGCCCCTTGAGCAAATAGTTGGGCATAAATTTAAGAGGCATGACATCACTTTATCCAGTCACAGTCACAGTTCCAGTTTCAGTTCCAGTTGTGGCTGTTGGCTGGTGGGTCTCAAGTACTTTGCGTGTTATAGATGCGATGCTGACGTAGCCGCTGGCGCCTGCGCCCAGTGCAAAATCTGCCACGTATCGGATACAAAGGCAATCCGACAGTTTATTTGGTCGATGACGTTGTCGTTGTCTCACACAGTTTGAAATGCACACACACAGACACTGGGTAGATATCTTGGAGCCGGGGTACGTGCTGCGTTTCAAAGTCAGGCCTCAGCCTCAAGTGATGGCTGCAGCAGATACCCCATACACGTACCAATACGGGTACGGGCGTATGAGGGTCGGGGGACTCGCAAAGCTGAGTTATGTCATAACTTTTGGGGTAGGACTGAGACAGAGACTGTGCTCCACTGCGTTGCTCCGAAGCAGGTAGAAGTGATTGATAGGTGAATTTTGAGGTATCCAAATTGCAGTTGAGTTGATTTGTGATGCCTGCGGCATGAGTTCTGATGAATTGCCAGTGGCTCGCTCTTCCATGAATCACATAATCCCGAACTGAATTTATGAGTTTTGGCAGAGCAAAGCGCTTCGCAGAATGCCTTGGGGGTGCTTAATTTTTAGTGCGGTCACTTTATATGGCCATGCCGCACCCAAAAAGAACTAATCAACAATCTACAGTCTGGCTCATTGAGACAAAGAGAGAGAGGGAGAGAGAAAGAGAAGAAAAGAGAGAAATCCATTTAAAATTCATCTAAACTCATTAAAAAAGTTTTCGTACGAAACTGTAAATGAATTTAAACTTTCAAACTTTAAATGCACTCGAATTCAATTAAAAAATGCTGCCTCATGGCTTCTCCGTGCGTATACTTGATATTTCGCATACGCCAAGTGTCTCATGGGGGGACCACAATGACACGGGCCCCCGTCAGCCCCTTCCCCAGGCACAATGACTTGTCTGCAACTAAATGACTTTCACTTTTCCAGCTGCCACGGGCAGGAAGGAAGAATGGGTGGCCCAGAGCAGAAGTGGGGAGCTGGGTACAAGGTATCACTGGATGAGAGGAGAACCAGCCAAAGTGTACGAGTATCTATGGCAGGTCCAAGAATGAATGAAATGAAATGAAACGATAGAAGGATAGAAGGAAGGAAGGATGCAAGGCAGCGCGGCAAGAGTTGGAGCAAGTAAACTCCCGTCAAAAGGCATGATAGATGCTGAGATAGCTACGTGTTGGCTCTTCTTGGTAAGATTCCGCACAGGTGAACCATGAAAATGCAGCCAATTGGAAGGGGAGCGAAGCGATGGCAGCTGTGAAAACGTTTCTCGGCCACTTTGCAAAATGCTGCGAGTATTGAGGCGGGGAAATGGAAACGAAGATGCAGGATTGTGGCTGGCCTGCTGATTGTCGGGAATCTCTTACAAAGTTGCGTATAAATTATATTGCCACTCTGTGATTTGCCACATGAAAATCGCCACTGCAATTTATAGCTGCCATTTGTGTGGTTACTGCTTCTGCTTTTCCCTGTTTCGTTTTTGTGTTTTTTTGTTTGCTTGTTTTTTGCTCTCAAACTATTTCATTTGGTTCAGGTTGCGGCTGCATATAATACTCGTAAATCAATGAAATGCGCATAAATTAATTAAGCGAAAACAGGCAAAGTATGTTGTCTCTATAAATGTTTCAACTTCCTCGAGCTTCATCCATAAACATACTCGTACGGGTATGTATGCACGTCATACGTTTACCTTTAATTAAACCGCAGAACTGGTATTTAGTCAACAATTTGTGCCATCGATTTGGCCCGTTTGTTTATTTGTTTGTTAAGTTCGTAGTAAAACAGAAATTATGCAAAATTCATTTTTGCTGGCAACTTAATTATGCCAAGAACGGGTTAATTTTGGCTCAGCAGATTCCTCATAATTGATTATGGCATAGCCTCCTGTACGGGCTCCCCCAACAGACTTACGACTGGGCCGAACTTTGTCAAGATTAATGCCTTCAATTTGTCCACTTCCCAAATAGAGAATATTATTATTGTTATAAGTTCTTAGAGTATTTTAAAAACATTTGTAGGTTTGGCAGCGGTTCGCATTGAACCCAATGTGAAGAGGTTAAGTCCAAAGATGTTGCCATTGGGGGAAGCCATTCAACTTTTGCTTTCAACTCGAATTCGAATTCGATTGGGGTATTTGATTGATGGATCCATGACTATACTTGGCCGATGAATTACCGATTGATGTGTGTGTGTGTGGGTGTGTGGCTGATGATCTGCTGAAGAGATCTCAATTAGGAGTAGCTTCCTCATGCTCTCTCTCCTCCGTTCCTCCGTTCCTGCTTTCCATTCTCGTTATTGTTGATGGTATGATAATTACGCACAAATTACACATCATATATCATCGAATAGGCATAAACACTTCTTGGTATTCCATAATTTATGTTAATTCCCAGGCAGAACACAAATAGCACCTCATAAATGTAAATTGAGTTCCCCCATTTGAGGATAGCCCCCCGCCAAAAAGCCACACAAACATTTTGAAGCGGGTCACACGTGCGTTTCCCATTCCCATGCAGAGTAGAGTCGCCCCTGCCTTGATGTGTCGCTGCTTTGATGGTCTTAGATTTAACCTCCAACTGTCGGGCAAGGCCATGAAAAAAGGTTCTGGGTGAACCCAGGCGCCTGCCTGCCCGATTGCCTGATTGCCAGATTCAGCTTTAAAAATGTGTTACCTCTCTTGGCATTAAGCCGCTTGGTTCTTTTTTTTTTTTGGGCATGGAGAGGGGTGAGCCGTTCCTGTTTGATTGATTTGCCGCGTGTCAGTGTGTGGCTTTTCAAGTTTCTTTGGAACTTGTTGAGAAATCCAATTAAAAAAAACAAATTATGAACTGCAAACGTTTCGTGGATGCTGTAATAGAGAGCCAGACACCAGATACCAGCACGGCCCAACCCCAGCTTCAGCATCAGCATCAGCTCCAGTTCCCAAGTTCAAGATCAAGGCCAGCCAGCTGTGCGTGTGTCCCATTCACAAGTCTCATGGTCCATGGGCTGGCACTGGCACTGGCACTGGCACACTGGTTGTGTGTCTCAAATGCCATTTGAATGTCGTCTGCTAGCTCTCCCACAGAGAACTGCATCCAAAGTGGGTCATAAATCAGTCAAATATCGCCCACTCTCGTGCCCGTGCCCGTGCTATTCTGTGTGTGGGTGTGGGTGATGTGGCGTCTCTTTTTTTTTTTTTTTTATTAGCCACTCAAACAAATGTCAAGTTGTAATGGACAAACGTCGGCGCCGCCTTGAATGAAGGTCTATCGCTCGCCGAGTTCCCGCCATTATCATCATCATCATGGGGGTGAGCTAACAAACCCAGTCAACCAGCGAGCAAGCAAACAAATAAGTAAACAATCAGACAATCACACAGTAAGACAGACAGAGCCGACGACAATTACAACTACTGGACCTTGCCAAAGATCGGTAGCAGCCCATAATGAATGTCAAGACGTCATCGTTGGGGAATTTGTTGTCTGTTGTCGAATGCTGTCGGCGGCCAAGACCAGGCCGGAGGCACCAAGCCCCACCCGAACCGACCCGGCTAAAGCCAGCGTGTCTGGTAAAGCCGTCAAGCGAGTTTCTGGCTGGCTGGCTGACTGGCTGACTGGCTGTCGTGGTGGCCCGCAGCAAAAACGCCTGCTTGTGTTTACTTCTTTAACTGCAAAGAGTTGCCCCTGTTGCCTCCCCGCTTTTAATTTGTTATATCTTCGCGGGCCTGCATTATTTTACAGAAATTATATATGATTAGTCGTGTGCATACGTGTGTCTATCTGCCTGTCTCTTGGGTAGGGGAAAGGTACAGGAGCAGCGCTGAATTAGCCACACGCTCTAATGGCTCAATTAAAATGACACAATCAAGCCTACAAATACAAACGAGAGTTCGTGTGCCGCTGCTGCTGCTGCTAGAGACCTGTTCGTTAAGTGCACGTGCTGAATGCTTTTTGTCATGCATTTTTCACGAATTTCAGTTTAATTTTAAGGGGAAACTGTCTGTATAAATAATGGATTATCTTTGGATAAATACATATATCAATTTTACTTTCATTTAACACTGGAAAAGTTCGACACTGCAAGCTGCCAAAGAAGATTAATTTTAATACTCAACACTTTTCCTCCACGTCGGCCTACGAGGCATATGTATTTATTCTCCACATCGGATTGGAAGGCTCTTAATTGTCTGTTGCAATAAATACACGACTCTGATTTATGTATGCATATTCTGTATCAGTGCTCGAAAGTTATTGTTCCAAAGTTGCAACCTCTATCCTTCTCGAATGCCATCCCACAGACCGGGCACGTTGTGGTTCCTTTAAATAAATTGTGACTATTTTCCATGGATAACTATACTCGTAAATGCAATGATAAAGTACGCTTGAAAGGATAACAATTTGCACAATGGGATAAATGGCAACAACAGAGTATATATTTAGTGTCAATGCAGCTAAGAATAACCCACTTCCCATCCGCAACCCCTAAACGCCACAACCCTCGGGTAAAACAGTTTGCGGATTAACCCACGCCACTCGCAGTCATTTGTTGGGCCAAAGTGGGTCACTGCAACGCACACACAGAGAGACGGGACGGCAGACAGTAGCACACTCTTGTGGGCAGTGTGTCAACAAATTGAAAATAGAATGCAACAACGAGTGGCATCAGTGGCAGTGGCAGTGGCAGACGACCGGACCGTACCGTACCGGACCCATGTTGTCTCTCACCTGACAAGGTGGTTAAAGTTATGAAAGTGCTAATTGAAATTCTACACAAAAGCCACAGCAAACGAGCCACTGACAAGCTAAAGAAGCGACGACGCCCGACCAGTTTGTGGCGTCCAAGAGTTGCTTATGAATGAAACGAAATGAAGACGAAGACCCCACCAATAAATAAAATAAATCTGTTCAAATATATTATATCGCTTGCTCAATTTGTCTTCTTGGCAAAAGTGTGGAGGCGTTCGCCGGGGCCCATCCATCAGCGGAAACACTTGTTAAGAGGCTCTCTGATAAATATTTGCATAATCTAACAGAAACAACAACAACAACAAAATTATGATAAGCAGACGAGTTGAGAGATTAACGAATGCTCATTTTGCTCGTTTGGTTTTTTCCTTTTTCTATCTTCCAGCCTCTCGTCCGATTGAGCGATGTAAAGAGCGAACAGCAAGGAGAAGACATCACCAACCACCTACCAGCAGCCACCATCCAGCAGAGAATCTGAATCTGCACGAAACGCAGTGCCATCAACGGGAGAAAAAAAGACCATCAACGAGTAGGAATCACAATGAGTGGCAGCCATAGAATGTTGTGCTGTCAAGTATTTATATTAGTTTTATGTGAGTAGTTGCACTTGCGGCGTGGCGCGGCGCGGGGCAATGATTTATTGAGGCATCTCGTTATCTCGTTGCACAGTTGCACACACAATCCGGACGGAGTTCCATGCGAGCGGAGCCAGCGCGGCGGTCAGCTTCGATGGCCCCTCGCCTGTCCAGGAGCTGGGTGCACTGGCACCGTTGGCGCGGCCCAACAGACGCCGCATGTACGCCATGTGCCCGCCGCAGTTCCAGCGCGTGGGCACCGACTGCTACTCGCTGGTGAGCCAGCGCAGCAGCTGGCTGGAGGCGCACTTCTTCTGCAAGGACAAGAACGCCAATCTGGCCGAGCCCCTCAAGTACGCCGACCGCAAGCTGCGCGCATTCCTGCAGAAGGAGGATGCCCAGACAGGAGGTGAGTGGGTAGCCATCCAGTTGCAGGTGGAAATTAATTTAAACTTAAATTATTAGATCGCGAGCCAGTGTGGATTGGGGCCACCTTTGATCACCGCAACCGTCTCTGGCAGTGGAGCATGAGCGGCCGCAATCTGACCTACGACTCGTTCAGCCAAATGGATGCCACGTAAGTGATGCACTCCTTTAGATTTGATCTGTCCTCTCCTTCTTTATTTCCGTTGATTTAACGCTTAAGCAACAATTCTAGCTATGTGCAACTTATCTCCAACAGCCAGCCCAACGACAACAACTGCGCCGTCTACGATCCGAGCCTCAAGTACCGCTGGTCGGCGCGCTCGTGCCCGGACAAGCTGCGGTTCATCTGCCAGCACAAGATGCCCAAGGTGAGCGAGGCCAACCGCTACAAGATCTACAATCGCTGGAACGCCACCTATCCCAATGAGCGGGCCAACGAGGTCGTTCTCGAGATTATCGATCGCAACGACAAGGATCGCAGGTATGGCCATCGGTTCATCGCTAGCCCTAAGCACTGGCACTCTGCCCTTCCGCATTCTGTTTGTCCTGTTTATCCTGCTTATCCGCCTCCTCGGCTGCCAAGTACTCATCCCACTTGGACAGGCGCTGGTGTGCCTCCACCGCCGATTCATCGATCCTGAAATGGAGTCACAATTAGAGTCTGGTTTTCCTTTTTTTTTTTGGTGATGCATTCGCCACTCACTTGTATTTGGTCTGGCCATCCCAGTGGTCAGCGCTCAGCTGACGCTGTCCAAAGAAGCGTCCCTGCATCATTTGTATGACCAGATCGGCCTCCTCCGGCGAGGACATGTTAATCTGAGCAATGCCCTCTGGATGGCGCTGAAAATAGCGATAAAGAGAGAGAGCGAGAGACAGATAAAGCGATTGTTTCTCTAGAGTTTACTTGCTGCGAAACTCACGTCATAGATGACAACTTTGCGGACCATTCCGCACTTGCCGCACTCGTCCCGCAAGTTGTTCTGATACTCCAGGATGAGTTCCACCTCCTTTTCGAAGAGCTCTGGCGTAAAGAGATTCTTGAGGATGACCGTCTTCTCGTGCTTTGAGCGCTCGCCGCGCATCTTGTCCGGACGCCAATCGAATAGTCTGCCAAACAGAACAAGGAATACTTGTTAGTTAGTGCCATGTTTCATGTCTCTCCTTCCTGTGGCTACTCACTTCTCCTTCATTTTCTGCATCTTCTCCTTGTCCTTCTTCTTGCGCTTGGGCTTCAGGGCGGGATTGTATTCGCCGCGCATCTGGAACTGGGCGCGCTGCACGCGAATCTTGTGGCCCCGCAGGTCGTAGTCGTCCAAGATCTTGAGTGCCAAATGAACAGATTCCACCTGAAACGAGCAGTGTGAATGGATATTGATGAGTATTTTTTCCGTCTTGCAGATACCATCGTCGCGTGAAGGCTGAGGGCAGCGATGAGGAGATGATCATTCCCGGTCGCCGCAAGAACAATCGTCGCAATCAGCCACGCAACCACCAGCAGCAGCCGCAGCCGCAGCAGCCCCTGCACCCCAACGATGTCAACTCCCACCAGAGGGAACCGCAGCAGCGCCCTCGCAAGCGTCCACGTGTCTCCTCCACCACCACCACCGTTGCACCCACAGCCGAGCTTGCGCCCGCTGCCCTGTCCAACATCCAAAACAACGATGTCCTGCCCGCCTCACCGACGCCCCAGCAGATGACCCAGTACGACCGCAAGCTGCAGCGCCAGCGCCAGAAGGAGAGACGCCGCCAGCAGCGCAAGAAGGAGCGCCAGGAGCAGAACCGCCAGCTGCGTCGCGAACGTCAGCGCAAGCAGCGGGAGGAGCAGCAGCGATTGCAGCGGGAGCGGGAGCGCGAGCAGGTGCAGCATGAAGAACCACATCCTGAGGGGCAAGAGCTGCGCGCGCGAATGGCCACTTTCGACCAGAAGGAGCAGCAGGAGAAGCAGCTGAAGGAGCAGCAGGAACGACAGCAGAAGGAGCAGCAGGAGAAGCAGGTGAGGGAGCAGCAGGAACGACAGCAGAAGGAACAGCAGCAGAAGCAGCTACGGGAGCTCAAGGACAAAGAGCAGCGCGAGCAGCAGGAGCGCGAGTATCAGCAGCAGCTGCGCGAACGCGAACTGGAGCAACTGAAGCAGCGGCAGGCGGAGGAGGAGCGTCGTCGCAAGTCCGACGATGAGGCCGAGAAACTGCGCCTGGAGCGCATCCAGAAGCAGCGGGAGCGCGAGGCCGAGCAGCGCCGTGCGCGCGAGGAAGAGATGCGCAAGCAGCGCGAGGAGCAGGAGGAGATCGACCGCCGCAATGCCGCCGAGCGGCTGGCCAAGGAGCAGCGATTGCGGGAGGAGCACGAGAAGCGCATAGCCGAGGCCAACTCTGAGCAGGAGAAGCAGCTGGCCGAGGCCCACGAGAAGAAGCGGCGCGAGGAGCAGGCCCTCAAGGAGCAGCTGCAGGAGCAGGAGCGCCAACGGCAGGAGCAGATCCGTCGCGAGCAGGAGGAGGAGGAGAAGCGCCAGCAGCTAAAGCGCATGGAGGAGACGCGCATCTTCGAGCAGCGCGAACTGGAGCGACTGCACGAGGAGAACAGGCGGCGGGAGGAGCAGCAGCGTGCCCGCGATGCAGAGATTGCCGAGCGCGAGGCCAATGAGAAGCGGCTAGAGCAGGAGGAGGAGCGTCTGCGCAAGGAGGTGCAGGAAGAGGAGCGCGCACTGAAGCTACCGCTGGAGAAGGAGATGCGCGAGGCGGAGGAGGCGCGCAAGGCCAAGGAGGATGCCGAACGGCAGGAGAAGGAGGCCAAGGCAGCCGAGCAGAATCGCAAGCTGGAGGCCGCCAAGAAGGCAGCCGATGCTTTGGTGCAGGCCTCGCTCGCCGAGAAGCGTCGCGAGTACACATCGCGCATCTCGGCCCTGAGTCCCGAGGACCAGAAGAAGTTCATCGAGATGCGCAAGCGGCGCAAGCAGCTCAAGGAGCAGAAGATGCGCGAGCAGAACGAGAAGAAGCTCAAGCGGATACAGCATGCCATGCGATTGAATGACGCCGAGTAGGAGAGAGAAGTGCTGCTCATCACTCCATCGCCTCCTACACCTACACATATCTCTTCCAATCTCCTCTACCAGACGTCGCACTAATCCCCCCGCTACTAACCGACACATATCGTTCGAGAGTTGGTTCAGCCACTGGGCCGATGATCCCCTTTTTTTAATTGCTTTTTATTTTGTTGCTTTTAATGGAAGAAAAACAAACAAAACAAAAACACGCAAAAGTATTATTTACAAGGAGAAGAAAGGAAGGGAAGGCAAGGAAAGGAAAGGAAACGAAATTAACTAACAAACCGGATATATCGCCTCCGGGCGGGAAAGTCAGTTTCATTTGCATTTGATCCGCAGACGAGCGATGGCCCCCAGCAGCAATATGCCCACAGTTGGATATCGTTTCGAGCGACCACCGGGAAGCCACTTAATCTCTATGGGAACTTCGCTGTAGCTCTATGTAGTACTGTACAGTAAACATATATACTATATATATATGCTATATATATAAATATATATATAGGTCTAGGATAGACACACACCCCACAATGGCAATCCCCACCCACCCACACCCATACGAAATATAACCATAAACTATATAGAATATCGAGCAATTTTAAAGCCCACATAGATCGCAAAGAATTTTAAAAACTAGAGAGCACACAGAAATACATATATGAAAATATCTCACATAATTAATAAAAAGATGGGAATGGCTAGAAGAGTCCTTACTGATCGATCCCTAGTTTGGCCCCCAAAACCCCCCTAAAATGTGTCCTCGAAATCACCGTAGAAGCAATAATTTACTAAGGAAAACCTTTTGATAATACAAGTATCCCATGTACTAACTATTTAGGTTACATATAATGATTAAAGTATGTTTAAATGTAAATTTTTATGTATTTTTTAATACCTCAAAAACTGGATGGAAACGTAAGCGTAAGCGGAAAAGTATCTTTCTAACGTTTTATTTTGTTTAAAATGAAAAGAATGAAGCGAATGAAACAAAGCAAAAACAAAAGCAAAAGCAAAAGCGAAAGCAATTTTATAGCCAAGTAAAATGCATTTTAATAGTACACTAACCAATTTTAAATATTATTACATACATACCTACTATAAAATATATATGTACACAACACCCAAGAGAAATGAAAAGAGAAGGCGAATCTAAATGAATAGTCAGCGAAACTTAGGCAGAAGCAGAAGCATAATCAGAATCGGAAATATGAAATCGAATGGATAAACATATTATGATAATAATATTACCATATAATATTTATGCAAGATTAAATCTACAGTTAAGCCACAGCAAATAAAGTGAAATAAAGAATAAAGTTTGAATGAAACTCACCTTGATGTAGTCGCAGAGGCCATCGCCCTTGATCTGACCATCCGCCTCCGTGTAGAGCTTCAGCTTGGGCTGCTGCGTCTTCGGATCCCGCATGACCATGCCACACTTGCCCATCAGCTCGGCAAACTCCTCCTTGGTAATGTCCGTCGGCAGATTGGACACGTATACTTTGGTGTTCTGCGAGGGATCCATTTCGAACCATTCTGCAGGGGAATTACACACATTTAAAATGGGTTCTAGTCTTTTTTACCGAACTTACTTGGTGGCTCTGGGGCCTTGCGCTTGCCCAATGCTGCTGCAGATGCTGCACCGGACTCATCTGTGGCCATGGCTGCCTCTGCCTCGGCCGTCATACGCTTGAGTTCCTCCTCTTTGCGCTTCGCCTCAGCTGCCTCTTTGTCGGCCTTCTCCTTCTCGCCGGCACTCGTGTTGTCTATGAATCCGTAATTCATTTGATACTGTGCCATGAAGTCGTCATCGATCTTCGGGAACCAGGCCGACTTCTCAGCATCCCACAGGTAGACAGTCCCATCCTTGTCCGTGTAGGTGCGTTCGCCGTGCTCATCCAGCTTGTAGACGGCATCTTGGTCCGGCTGCTGCTGCTCCTGCTGCTGGTGCTGCTGCTTGAGCACCCACGTATGCTGCTCCTCATCCCACCTGTAGTGCTCCGTCTCTGTCTGCGTCTTGGGCAGCCACTGGCTCGTCTCGTCGCACCACTTGTAGAACTCGTTCTCGTAGGGATTCTCCCCATTGCCAGTCAGCGGCAGCCAGCTGTTTTTAATGTTGCACCATTTGTACTCCTGCTTGGTGCTGGGATCCGTGTAGATGGCATCGCCATTCTCGGCATAGGTCACATGCTCAGCGTAGGCTGCAAAATCCTGATGCGGTTGGGTTGCATCTTCCTTTCTGGCTGCTTCCCCTTTCACCTGGGCTTGGCTTTCCTTCGCCTTCTCCTTTTTCGAGTCTGCACTTTCCACCTGGGATTGGCTTTCATCCTCCTTTTTCTTCTTGGCTGCTTCATCCTTTATCTGGGCTAAGCTTTCAATCTCCATCTCCTTCTTGGCTGCTGCATTGTCTGCCTGGGGTTGGCTTTCATCATCATTATCTGCTTTGGTTTCACACTCTACTGCGGCCCTCTCCTTGGGCTTCTCCTCCCCATCATCCCCTGCGTCTGGTGCTGCAGTGGGGTTTGGAATGGTGGTTGTAGGTGCGGGTGTGGCTGCGGGTGGCGTTCTCCCATCCTCTGCTCCGATGTCGCCTTCCCTATAAGTTATAAGTTCCGTTTCGGGCTTCACCTCCTCCTCCTCCTCCTCAGGCCTTTGCTTCTCCTTGCCCTCTTCGTCGCTCATTTTGGGTGCTGTAATTAAAGCAAGCCGAAAAGTAGACTACATTTAGTTGCTTCCTTTGTGGCATTTCCTGCTGCCTTTTCTTTTCTGTTTCTTTTCTTTTTTGCCGCGTGGGCGTGACAATCGTCTAATTCCCAGCTAATTTCATACATATATATATATTTTTTTTTTTGTTGGTCGCGTAAACAAATAATCAGGGGCGGCTCTGGGGCCACGTGTAACAACAGAGAAATAAATTGCAGGAACGTGCTCATATCGCTTGACATTGAAGGAAAATAAAAGTGTGTGTCCAGTTTGTGGGCTGTGGGCTGGGGGGAGGGTGGTGCGAAAGAAAGAGCATTCCAAGAAGACCCACACGGAAAATAACAAGTTTTCCTTTGCTCTTTTTTTTATTTTTATTTTGCGCCTTAGCTGGTAAACAATTTACACAATGATTGCCAGTTCACCTTCCACTCGGACTCCAGTGGTGCGATGAGGCACTGCCGTGTGTGTGGGTCAAGCATTGAGTCAGGTAATAAAACGAAATGAAAGGCGCACGCCACATTCAGGAGAGCTCCAAGAAAAGAAAAGGCCAACACAAATCCCAAGCCCATCCCAATGCCAACAACAACAAAAAAGAAAAGAAGAGGCATTGGGGAAACAGGAGCACAGGCCGCCATCTCCCCTCACTGAAGGTCAAGCCGACTAATTTCGTTTATTTGACAGAGGGAGAGTGAGAAAGTGGGCTCGGGAGGGGTAGGGGAAACCCTGAACTCACTGCTGGCTGCTCCTCCAATCGATTGGGAGGTTCAATCAACCTTCCGACCGGAGCACTACTTGACTTGAGAGCCCAAATAGATTCGTCAAACTATTCGACACAATCCCGTGCCGCCTGAGACCTCCGACAGCTGACTTGGGTCGCCTTTCTTTTCCTATTTACGTCATGAGATCTCTCTTTAGTGGCCCCATCGAAGAGAGTTCAATGTACTCTGGCTAATTGTCACGACTTTACGCCCTGCACTAAAAATAGGCAGAAGAAAAACACTCACGAACTGAGCCGAACCAAACAGAACTGAACCAAACAGAACAGAGTTCAACGCTCAGCAAAGGGCAACATTTGCATGCACCTCAAAATGGAACGGAACGCATAAGATTTGCTTTTTGCCAAGTCAGCGGATGAGCGGAGTAGGAGTGGTCTCCCCCCCCAAAGGGGCAGCACGGATAACTGGCACATTGGCCGGCACACCTACGAGCGTGGCAGGGGCATGGCATTGCATGCAACAGTGAGAACCAAACTGCAGCTCCAACAGAAGCCAACAGTAGCCTAGCCTAGCCAGCAGCTATTGCAGTTTGCGAGGCAAACAACTTTGTTAGGAGGATTCATAAATTACATAGACATTCGAGTAGCCGTTGTGCTCGTGGGGTGTTGTTCATGTTCGCCAAAGTGCTGCAGGAGTTTTAGATGCATATAATATATGTACATATACTATATACTATATATAGAAAGTTTAGTTTCCCAATTGAGGCTAAAGCCGAGTTAGAGAAGCCTTCTAAATGGATCGAAAGGACTGGAGCTCTAGTCTGGCCTCGCCATAATCCATCCTTCTGCTGTGGCAGAACACCTTTAACATTTCACATTCATTTAGACATTAAAAATAAACGCACTTATTGCATGAGTATTATATAGAATTGTAATGGAAGAACCTTCTTGAGGATTGCGATTCCCACAATAAAATCAATTAATTGACGCAAATTGTCTGCGAAAGTCTGCAAATGTGAGAGAGTCGTACCCCGAAGACCGGCACACTGGCCGGGGCATCTGCCATTTGGCCCATTTTTAATGGCTAGCGGCTAGGCCATAAAAACGAAAACGAAAACTACTTCAGAGGAAGAACGCCCAGAGAACGAATTAATTAAGTTTTTTTTTTGTTTTTTTTTTGGAGAAATGTATCGCCAATTCGCTGGCCCACTCTATTCCCTTATGCAAATTTTAACAGGTCAAGGGGATGGGTGCAGCGAGTAGCAGTTCCAATTTTCATCCACCTACACATACAATATATATTAATGCTATTTTTAACATTAACATTTAACATTTTACCCCCCACCACAACCCCCTCGTTCTTGGTATTCTGAGAGATTTGCAAACATTACTCACAAATGCCATAAATATTTGAGAAAGAGAAAGGAAAGGAAATCCAAACCTCCCCAGTGCTCTCCATCCGAACGGAACAGTGGAATAACTTAACTTGGCTCAAATGTTGCCTGGGGTTAGGGTGACTCACTGTGGCAACTGGCAGGACAAGCCTCCTCCACCCTTCTCGTGGGGCGCGAAGCGCGAGCCAACGACCAGGCAAGCAGCAAGCCTTTTTTCATAGCATACTTATACGGGCACAAATGGCCCAATATTGATGGCAGCTCTTGTGGGAGTGTGGGTGAGTGTGTCTGTGTGTGGCTAGAGGTTAGAGCTAACTCCTGGCTAGTCCTGACTGACCAGACCAGTACGCGCTGAAACGTTCAACTGACCAGAAGTGCTGCCGGGTCAGAAGCCGCAACGGAAGCCTAAACTCCGCTTATAACCAGCTGCCCCTCTCCCTGTGGTCGGTCGGTCAGTCGGTGCGGCACACGCAACTCCAAATGGCATTATTGTGTTGTATATAAAACGATAGATATTTGTATATGAGGAGCAACTGCAGCCGGCAAAAAATAATATGCAAAACCCTCTCTGTCTGTCTCTCTCTCACTTGCAAATCAATAAAAGCGGAAACGAAATCTAAAAAGTGTAATATAATAGCCCAAAAAAAAAAGGGAGAGAGTAGAAAATAAACGACATGGATATACCCAGCACTGGTGCCATATTCACTCTGGGCAAATCCCATCTGGCGGAGAATACCCAGAGTTACTTCTACATTAAAAATGATCCTGTGAAGCGACTGATATCGGGTCCACATCAAAGTGCAGTCATATGCGGTAACTACAACGGGTAATCGGTCCCAAGAGAGTGACCCCAATTCCCCCTACTTGGCAGCCCCATGCTGCGGGCTTCTCCTTGGTTTAGACAGTGGTCAAGTGGTCAAGTGGTTCAAGTCAAAGTGGATTGACGGTGGTTCTTCGTGTCTGGCTGTCTGCCTCTGCATTGCATGTTTACTGCAATTTTCTTTAAATAATCATAAGGTACCACCACACAGCGCCACACACCCCCGCGGGCACTTCTGGTCACTTCACTTTCACTTTCCTGTTGGCCCAGTCTTGAGGGCCAGGACTAGGACTGGCCCACGCTCTAGAGGCTATTGAATGGCTAAATTATATAGCCACCCCCCACACTTTGGACAAATTGGTGACCCAGGATTAGATGGTGCCTATCATTTGCGATGAGTTTTCCCCAATTTAGTACCAAATTTGTTCCACATTTGGCCCACATTACATAAGCTTAACCAGAGCTAGCTAGCGAGCAATCACTTCGAATCACGGCAACACACACTACGGGTACAATCCTGTACATTATTTTGGTATCCTAATGGGGTCAGGCGTAACGTTAAAAAATACCTGAAATATGGAGCAAACTCACGAACTCCGCTGAGAAGTGGCGAACCCGCCACCGAAAGCAGTCCAAGTCCAAGTCGTAATTGAAGCGTAAAGTCGAACAGCAGTCGAGAGCGGGGGTTTTGGCTGTCCCCGAAACGAAACGAAATGAAATGAAATACTCACTCGCACTCACAATCAATAAAAGTCAAGAAAAGGGAACCACACAACACCCTCCCCTGACTCTACCTCTGCCCCTGTCTCTGCCTCTCTAATCGTATAGCATATTAAAACAATAGAAAAAAGCAACAGCTAAAAGCCATAGCAAATGTCAAAATGTCTCCACCCCACCGGCGGCTCCGGCCACCGGTTCTTATCTCAATTACAGAATCTGGCCGACTATTTGTTTGGGGCGAGAATCACTTTGGGCAGCTGGGCATTGGCGGACACAGTGGCACCACTGCCAGCGGCAAAAGAAGCAGCGCCACCAATGGGGATATTGTCACAAAGCCCACATGTGTGAAGGCCCTGAAAAGTCTGGGCTTGAAGATCTGCGATGCGGCCTTTGGCAACAATTGGTCGGTGATGCTAACACGTGAGTAAACATCAGTAGATATTAGAGGGGAAAATGCCGCATTCCTAACACCATTCTCCGACCGAAAAGACTCCAATGAGATCTTCTTTACGGGTCGCAACATCTTTCCCGAGGACACGCATGTGGCACAGCATTTTATCAGCGCCCAGGTGGAGCAGCAGCAGTGTGCCATCATTCGGAAACCCTTTAGGCTCGAGGAATTCGATGACTATCTGTCCAAGAGCGAGGAGACGGACAACTTCTTGGCCGTGCAGGCGGGCAACGAGCACTTTGCCGTGCTGACCAGTGAGTTAAATCCAATTAATTACAGGATAATCTCTTGCTGAATATATACTCTCTCGACAGCCACTGGTCGGCTTATTGGCTGCGGTTCGAATGGCCAGCAGCAGCTGGGGGAGCTGGAGGCCGACTACGATGGCCATCCTGTGGAGATTAAGTTGGATGCCACCGTGCAGCAGTTTGCCTGCGGTCCAGAGTCCACGCTGGTGCTGACGGCCAGCGGAAGTCTCTTTCTCACTGGACACCTCAATGAGTTTGTGTTTCCCAAGTTCACGGAGCTGCAGAAGAACCTCTCGCCCACGGAGCAGATCATCTTCATGCACATTTCGAAGGCCAGCGAAATTTACATCGTGAGCAACGTGGGCAACATCTATCGCAGCTTCGAGTCGGTGCGGAACAAGAGCCTGGTCTTCCAGCGCTTCTACGACTACGACAGCGAGGAGAACGGCCCCATCTGGAAGCTGCTGAAGGGCTTCTCATTCTACGCGGCCCTCAGCAAGGCCAACAAGTTCTTCACCACCTTCTCGGAGAGCGGCCACCACCTGAAGACCTTTCGCGAGATCTCAAAGTTCAAGAATCTCCGCCTGCTGGACATTGCTGTGGGGGATCAGCACATTCTGGTGCAGGGCATACCCAGAACTTCGATAGCCTCCGCCAACGTGGGCGTGAGCAACAGCTTCGTCCTGCAGCCGAAGGATGACAATGGGAATCTGCTGGAGCAGGCCAGGAACAGCAGCGGGCGCAGCCTCACCAAGCAGCAACAGGTGGCGGAGGAGATGGAGGAGAGAGCCACGTCCACGGCCATGGGAGCGGGCGTTGCTGCGGGGGTGGGCACTGCAGCTGGAACAGCGGCAGCCATGGAGGCCGTGAAGCATTTAACGAATGGAAACGAGGCAGAAGAGGCAGGAAAAGCCACCAAAGATGCAGTGCAGGCAGAAGGGGAATCGATGGAAGTGCAGGCAAATGATGAGGCACAGCCAAAGGACCCGGAGGTGAATGGCAACGAACAGGAGCCGATCCCAAGCAGTCAGAAGGAGGAGCAGCAACCAACAAAACCTCAAAGCGGAGACCACAAACAGATGGAACCATCGGCACCCATGGAATCCCCTATAAAACCCATGAAAAGCCCCGAAAAACCAATGGAATCCACCATTGGATCACCACCACCCATGGATTCAATGGATAAGCTACCAACTCCACCCACGCACACGCCCACACCACCCCAATCTCCGACAGATTCTATAAGTTCTCTGCAGTCGGCACGCTTTGTGCAGCCCGGTAATCCACTGGAGAAGCAGATGCTGGAGGGCAGCGAGGAGAAGCAGATGCTGCGTCCACGCACCCCATATCCGGACAGCAACAATGGCAGCACTCCACAGACCATCAAAGAGACGCCCATACGGAACTTCTCGTACGAGGCGGCCATGGATCATGACCACCTGGAGAGGACGTCGCCCGAGCTGGTGGATAGCCTGGAGACGGTGGAAGAAATCCCAGCCGCGGCCACCATTCAGGTGTCTACGCCCACGCCGCCCACAGAGGAGGATGAGCAGCTGGCGGTGGAGATAACCACAACCAAGGACTCCAGGGACAGCAGCAAGGTGGTCAACGAGATACGGTTCATCAACAACGGGGTGGATGTCACGGCCAAGGTGGAGGAGCAAATGCCGGACACATCCCTAGAGGACTCGACGGAGGAGCTGGAGTCGGATGCCGAGCAGATGCTGCAACAGGTGGAAGAGCGCGTGGAGAAGTCAGTGGCCGAGCACAAAGATGAGGCTCTGAGGGCCACCGAGGAGGTGAGAAATGGCCTGGACTCCAGGCGAGACTCGATCCAGACGGCGGTGAAGAATGCCGCCCAAGGAGCAAAGAAATCCATGGAGGCGGCAGGCGAGCGCGTGGCCACAGGCGCTCGCGGAGCTGTGGATGCTGTGGGCGATGCAGTCGGGGCCGCGGGCAAGAGTGCCCAGCGCATGGCCAACGATGCAATGCACGCGATGGAGCAGGCGGGAAGCAATGCAGCGAAAGCAGCCTCCGAGACGAAGGACTCCATGGGCAGGGCCATGGACTCGGTGACCCACAAGATCTCCAGCGAGGTGCTTGGCGCCAAGGAGAACATCTCATCGCTATTCCAGATCAAGGCAGCCCGCGAATCAGATCCGCACACCACGCCAGTGTCCACGCCACGTGGTGACGATGAGGATCTGGATGTTTCCTCAAAGGAAGGCGGACCCAAGACAAACACGACCCTGGGCTCTGGGGAGGAGGATGAACGGACGACGGCGTCTGTGAACTCGAATCACAATTCAGCAGGCAATGGGAATCGAGCGCACTTCGAGGACACAACTCCCTTTGAGCCGAGCAATCCCTATGACGATCCCCTGGACGCCGTTGTGGAGCGCAGCAAGAAGGCCATGCAGGAGGACCTGCGGGCAATGGAAATGCGAGCAAATTCCCATGTCCAGGCGGTGGCGCAGAAAACGGAGGAGGAGACCAAGGGCTTCGTTCAGCAGTTTCTGGATAACATGCGGCTCTCATGTCGCAACGAAAGGGCCGTCGATATTGCGGGTAAGATTCTACAGTGATTTCTGCTCCAGTCGTTATATATATTTGTATATTTACCTGAAAACTTTGTACTCCTTTGAATTCAGACGAGACGCGACCGCCTGCGCCGGCAGCAGCGCCGCACCACAACAAAAACAAAGTCAACAGCGAGCTGAGTTTAAGCAACGGACATGGCGAGCAACAGGCGTCGCGTGTTTGCACGATTTTATAAAACTTGCACTACCACCCACAACACTTTTCTAAGCAATTGCATTTGATTTTAAAGTACAATTTAACGAAAATAAAGCAAACATTAAACAATTCTATTCTTCACAAACTTTTAAGTGTGCCCGCACTCTGTTTAGGCAGGAATTTCACGTGGACACGAAAACGATTAACCCATGGTCGACCACCCACATGAATATTATGAAACTTGAAGAATTTGTGGCACAGTTCAGATGAAAGATATCGTGGTCTACAATAAGCACTTACGTAGTTTTACACAAGTTGTTCACCTGTTTAAATAGTGGATGGTTAAAAGGGCTAAGTTCCTTCTCTCATGGTATATCCGTATATAATTTAGTATATTTAGTCCAATCATTGGTATATTACGGTATAAATCTGAGAGGCTGACGTTATATTTTAGCGATAGATCCGCGGTCACACTGTACGCGTAAAAAAAGAAAAGAAATATTTGTACTATTTTTCTAACATTTATAGTCTTTTTTATAAATGAACACACAGCAAGAAATAATGCTCGAAAGCCTAGCTTTAAACAACTGATAGCGGAACGCGTGCACTCTCTTCCCCTGCTGAGACCCAACACAACACACACGAATGCGGAAAATGATGTAAAACGGGGGGAAATCTAAACCTGAAAGGCCCCATACAGCAGCAGAGGCACAAAATGGAAAGGTAGGTCAATGTGTGGGCGCCACAAATATATATATGTGAAAAATCTAGGACTGCCAACGGCACAGCCCGATTGTCTGGCCTTAAGCTGAGTGTTTTAGAGTGTTTTTAAAACTATGAACATTAAACACCGAGCTCCAAAATAAAAGAAGTCTGTCTCCTAACCTCAAAAGAGCTTTTACAGTCAGTGACAGTGTGTGTTTGTGTGTGTGTGTGTGCGAGCGACTGAAAGTGGTTGTCGCTTATGGGCCGCAACGAGGGGGCAAGCAACGTGTTAGTGGAAAAACTGCTTTTGAAAAAAGGGAAAATTTTTCACCACAAAAGCCCGCCCAAAATAGGGTCTCGTCTCCCCACAAGGATGTCCCACCCACACCCCCTGGCAGGACACTCGCTATGCTAACTTTCTCCAATTGGATAACGATATTGCCCATCGTATATTTATATTTATTTGGGAAACACATGTAATTGGCGAGAAAGTAACACGCTGTCAATTCAACCAAAAAGATACCTGAGAGATTGTACCTGTGTGTATGCATGCGTGTGTGTGCGTGTTTGTGTTGCGGAAGGTGGTGTGATGGCAGGGGGCGGGATGGGATTGGATTGCTAGCAGAGGGAACCGAACCTGTCCGAGCGATGGGGACGTAAAAACCAGAGCTCTGAAAGTTACATGCATTTGGTCGCGCGCGCGTATTTATTTTGTTTAAAAATGCATAATCGTCGTGTTTTATAATTTATGCGAAAAGAGAAAAACACATTTTAAAGGCAGTCTGAATAGAACTCTTAGGATGATGGTGGAATGGAATGGGATGGGAAGGGCGCTCGGGAAGTGTGTCAGCCATTGAATAATTTAGATTTATAATTTCGCAGTTAGGTATTTCGTGTCGGGTCGTGTCGTGTCGTGTGTTTGTGTTTTGGGGGAATTCCTCACATATTTTTGCATACCAAAGCGGCGGTGGCCAACATCAACTGATGAAGCCGCCGCCGTCGCTATCCAACAGTTCACTAATCCCTCTCTCCTCTCCGCTTCATTTTTCAGGCACTAACCAGCACCAACAAACCACCAACCAACCACCCAGCAGAAGCAGAAGCAACCAAGATGAATCTGTCGTGGCGCTTTTGAGCATCAATCGATCTTAGTTTGTTCGCCAACTTTCTGTTCAAGAAGTCCGAGCCCTGTCCGCGCGTACGATTCCGATTCCGTCTGTCAGACAACAACTCCTCATCCCCCGTTTCCCTCCCCCAGAGCCTGATCCAACTCCCACTCGCACCTTCAAATCCAGTGCACTGGTAGCTGCCGCCCATGATGCATATCAAGAGTTTGCCCCATGCTCATGCCCATGCTGCTGCCACGGCGATGAGCAGCAACTGTGACATTGTTATTGTGGCCTCTCAGCCGCAGACGACGATTGCCAACAACAACAACAATGATACGGTCACACAGGCCACTCATCCCGGTCATGTGGCAGCGGCGGCCCAACAGCAGCAGCAGCAGCAGCAGCAACAGCAGCAGCAGGCGCAGCAGCAGCATCACCAACAGCAGCAACAGGCGCAACAGCAACAACAGTCTTCTGGACCCCCCTCAGCGCCACCAGCTCCAGCGGAACTCGCCGCCTTACCCTTCCAAATGCATCTGAATGGAATTTCGGCCGAGGCGCATAGTGCCGCTCAGGCTGCAGCCATGGCGGCTGCTCAGGCCGCAGCAGCTCAAGCAGCGGCGGCGGATCAACAGCAGCCACCGTCAGCGCCTCCACCGCATCTGGTCCATCTGGCCACGCACAGCCCGACCATGTCGAATGATCACTATTTGGCCAATGGCCATGGCGAGCACCAGGGTGAGGGGGCTGGCAGCAATGGAAACTCTGGCGGTGGCGGAGGCGGTGGCGCGAGAGACCAGGAAAAGCCGTTCCACTGCACCGTGTGCGATCGACGCTTCCGGCAGCTGAGCACACTGACCAACCATGTCAAGATCCACACTGGCGAGAAGCCCTACAAATGCAACGTTTGTGATAAGACCTTCCGTCAATCGTCCACGCTGACGAACCATCTGAAGATCCATACGGGGGAAAAGCCCTACAACTGCAACTTCTGTCCCAAGCATTTCCGTCAGCTGAGCACTCTGGCGAATCATGTCAAGATCCACACGGGTGAGCGACCACACCATGCAGCCCTGCTGCCTTGATTTATGCCACGCAATTCCCAAACTAATCCAAAACCTCATTTGCAGGTGAAAAGCCGTTCGAGTGCGTCATATGCAAAAAGCAATTCCGGCAGTCCAGCACGCTCAACAACCACATAAAGATCCACGTCATGGACAAGGTCTACGTTCCTGTCAAGATCAAAACGGAGGAGGAGGAGGGGTGACTAGGACGGATGGCGTTGGCGGGGCATCATCAGCAGCAGCACCATCATCTGCCGCAGCAACAGCATCCGCACCACCAACAGCCACCGCATCCGCATCATACTCCGCCCCATGCCCATGCACATGCTCATGCCCACCACATCGACCATCAGCGAGGAATAACCATTACCACTCTGCCCTCCACCACGTCTGTGGCGCAACACCAGCAACAGCAGCAGCTCCTTCACCATGGCAATGGCAGTTCTCCCCACCATTTCAATGTGGCCTCGTTGGGTGATTTGTCCAGCGCCATGCAGCTGGGAGCTGTGACAGCCGATGGCAACTTTGTCACCATGAATGGGGTGGTGGTGGGCCGCATTCAACACACGCGCGAAGAGCTGCAGCAGCTCGGAGTGATTAAGGTCGAGTCACCATCGAATGGTGTGACCACCGTGCCGACGTCTGTGGCGTCGTCAACGCAGCGCGAGTGATGAGTCGATCAGCTGCTCCTCGAGTACATATTCAAGGCCGAGGAGAATGTCCAGGAGCAGACAGTAGAGCAGGAGGAAGATGAGGAGGAGGAGGAGGAGCAGCGATCGAGCAAGTAGTGAGCCATGTTTGGTGTGTACGCTTACGTTGTTGTTAGTTGTTTAATTGTAGCGAACATTGTTGTTGTTGTTAAGGTTTAAATGTGTGACTAAGAACTTACCAAGATGAATGTATAGCAAAACGCTTCAAAAGTAGCTAACCGGCAGACCGCCAACACCACAGCAGCAGCACACAGCGCTCCCTGGTAAACCAAACCTGAAAACCCGAAAACCCGTAAACTGAACATCCAACCATAAGAAATACCAGACCCTTGAAGAAGTGCTGCTGTGTGGCCAGCATCTCACACCCAACCCCCACACCCCACAATCCAATCACGAGGCAATAGAATAACCAACGTCCTATTCACGTAATTAAACCTAATCGCAACCCGTAACTAGGAGCAGAACTAGAAAGAAACAAAAAATTTGCTAAAAGTACTAAACACACAATTAAGCGAAAAGTCATTGCGTTAAGTCGATAAAATGTGAAATAAGCAAAGCGTAAAAGTAACGAAACAAGAGAAAAGAAAGGAAAATAGCTACACAAAGTGCAAACACTTTTAAAATTTCAATATTTTTTTTAATCAAACTCACTTTCAGATTTTTTTAATTAGCATTTAACTTTGAAGGGAACTTGTACAGACCTGACTTAGTCAGAGTTTCCAATGGTTTATCTATTTTCTATTTTTTTTTGTTTGTTTGCTTTAACTTTCGTTTAGTAACCGCTTGAGAAACGATTTGCACGGGTGTTCTTCGGTCTGGGTTGACACAAATTCAATTTGTTTTATTCAATTCCTAGCATAATTATTTAATTTTTAATCATAGAGGAACAAAACCGATAAGGAGAAAATAGCTAACAAAAAAATATTCTTATAGTTTTAAGAGGTCGAAATGCAGAGAGCCATAGTTTGTAATGAAACGTTTTGTTAATATTAATTGATTAGTTGTAATAGTTATAATTTCTGCATAATTGGCGAAACTTGGAAACGAAAAACCTGTCGCGCTAGCCTTCGTCTAAATATTAGTTACTGAAGTAAACACAAACTAATGCTAATGCTATGATAATGATATGATTATGCGATAGGAAAGCAAAGCAAGTTCTGTACAAAGCCCAACTCCAATTTTTGTATGTATAAAGCGAATTGTATACAGCGAGCAGCGCAGCATAGCGGTGGTAAGGAGAGAGTTTACCCAAAAATCAAATGTAAATCAATCAACAAACAAACCAACCTTTTTAAAGCGAAAATAATATTTTCTAAAAATATAATTTGCGACTAGTATTTTATTTGATGTTCGCCTTCGTTTCCTTCCTCCCAACAGCCCCCGACTGACAATTGTTATGTACTCGTATCGTATCGTTCGCGGTCGAGGTCGCGTTTTAATAATTTTAAAAACTGCAGCACAGGCTACGCTTTGCGAGCCCTGCGTCAAGTTCCTATAGATTTCAAAGCGCAACAAAACGAAAAACTTAAATGTATACGAAATCAAATGCAAAACCGGGAGAAGGAATCACACTAGACAAACCCTAGAATATATTGAATAAATACTAAATAAATGTTGATAAATGTGTAGTGTTAACCGAATTGAAACGAAACCCGTTACAGAAAAAAGAAACCCCTCCCCACACACCGCAACTGGAAACCTAGCAGAGTAATATTCTAAATACCGCTTAAGGTCGTTCTATGTAAATCATTTTTCACACTTGAGAGACACTCTCACCAGCAGCCCGTTGGAAGGATTATAATGATATTATGTGGAGTGTGGTGGGTTAACTGGAGACCCACCAACGCCGCCAACGATTGCATCGAATAAATCATGTCAGAGATCAGAGATCCTATGCGAGAGACAACACCGCTTCCCTTCCTCACCACTACACCCAATATCTCCATCTCCCACGCGTACGTACGAGTATATTTTATAAATAAATAAGTTACGTAGTGAGATTAGCATTTAAGAGCCCAACTTATGGATAGTTGAGTGTGTAAAATGTAAAACTGCAAAGAATTTAGACATTAAATGAACAAAGACAAACAAAACGAAGAAGATCTGCAAAAGAAACAAAAAACAAAAGAAAAAAGCAAAGCAAAGCAAAATGCTTAAAAACAAAACGCGATAATATTGTATAACTATACACCTACATATACATACATACGAGTATATGTATATTTATTAATGTATGTACACGCGTAGTAGCTGTATTTATATGTAAATGTGTGCGTAAATGTGTATTTAGTTACAGCATAAATATATATATATATACATAAATATATATTTGCAATGGAGAAATACAGAAACGAAAACTATGAAATGAATGGCAAATGAATTAAATGCATTATTTTTATATTCTTCACAATGGATCATCGCTCAGCGCTTCCCTTCAGTAACAAATTTCATAATTACAACTTTTGGTTTGATTAACGCTTAAATAATACTTGGGCTTAGGGGACACCACTCTGGGCTTCATCCGAGTCCGCCCCTGGTGAGGATCGTGGCGATGCCGGCTGTGATTGTGGCTCGTCGTCGCACAGGAATCCATTGAGATAGTCCAGCCAATCGGATACATCGATTTCCGGCTGCACTTCCTTGACGAGCACACGCCGCAGGTAGCGTATGTAGCGCACATCGTTGCTGTAGCGAACGCTCAGCTCGGGCAAGTTGATTCTGGCCACTGGCAAATTCACCATGGGCCTGCCCACAATCACCTTGGTGTTGAGGCGCTTCTTCCAGGTGGGCACTTCCTTTTCCATTTCGCCCAGATCGAAGACCTTGAACGTTTCGCCAGTAACAATCCCCACCGGAGTGGCCAGTGGGCTGCTGGTCCTGGTCTGCAATGGCTGCACCTGTTCCTTGCCCTTCATAAACTTCCAAAAGCCCTCCAGATTCATCCATTTGTCATAGTCCTTGAGGGCGTTCAAGAGTAAATTCAGATAATCCTCCCGCGACAACTGCTCATCGTCGTCGTCCTCGATCTCACTCCTTGGCTTGTATTTCACCCACTGCCTGTCGTTGAACTCATCGCTTACCTTCTTTGGCCCGAATGCCACATTTCTGGGGAAGTAAAAGAGCTGCAGAAAGTGATCCGTGAACTCGAAGCGAAGATACGGCTGCTCCAGCAGCGGAATGCTCTTGATGTAGGTGCTGATGTGCTGGGGATTCTGTGTCTTGAATATCTTAAAGAACTCGGCAATGAGCAGGCGGGTCTGCGGCCCCATATTCGGGTAGGTCACAGTGTTATCCACGTACTTGAGCTCAGCCGTGTTGCTGACTTCCACAACGAGAGAGATGAGGCGCTGGTAATACAAGGAACAAGAATAAAGAGGCATGGCTAGCATATATAATAAGTATAAACTCACATGCAGTATGCGTAGGCGATCGGGGTACAGGGACTTTGCTGCCGCCAAGCCGAACAAACGCATCACTTGGCGCACAATATCCGTGAGCCGCACTGTTGCCGACATTCCAAAGACATGAATGGCAAAGGGCTTTGTCTCCTCATTGAACATCTCTGTCTCGGACTGGCGCAAACGGTTGTGGTCCAGCCAGGAGAGGAACTCCATTTCCAGGACCCAGCAGAGCATGTTCAGCACATCGCAGATACGCGACAGGCGCGCCCCAGGCGACAGAGTCTTGAAGTCATCCAGACAGAGTTTGCCACTGGCCCAGTCGTATTCCTGCACATGCTTCAGGAATACCGTCTCCTGTGACATGTCTAGATCTTCCTCCTCCGAGAAATTGAACACGTGCTCCTCATAGGGCCTTGTGTGCCCGCGGATTTCCTTATCGCTGCATTGCGGCAAGAGCTCCTCCAGAAGATTCAGATACAATTTCAACTTTTGCGGCGCAATGTCGGAGCGTCCGCTACGAGTTGCCGTGTTGGGGACGCCCAGTAAATTCAAGTAATATGGGCGCAAGCATGTCCAGCAGGGCGGAAAGGCATCGACCAGGAGAAAGAAGGTGCGTATAATCTTGCCATAGGTTCTCGCCAGCTCCCTGACACTCATCTCTTTGGCAACCAGAATCTGGAAGCGGAAATGGGCTGTATTATTTTATTCAGTTCAGTGGAGCACAGCACTCTTACCATGGCCATCTCAACGAGCCGGTCGAGGACACCATCTCCCGGGTACACACCCTGCAGCGCCATCATCTCCAGCATGTCCAGGAACGTGTCATAGTGGTGGCCATTCAGCGTCATCTTCAGATCTTCCGCCATCATAAAGTTTGGCACATCCGGCAGCATGGCAACGCGATGTTTGTCCACGCATTCCTTCGTATTTTGCAGACACTTGGGCACACATGCGCCCGGCAGACGGTTCTCCGACTTCATGTACATATTGGAGATGTGAGTACGCAGATTCCGCCGCCAGTCCATCTTCGGGGCTGGCTCCTTCTTGCTGGCTTGCGATGCCCGCCTCTCCTTCATTTTCTTCCTCCGCTTCTCTTTAGATGCACTCATTCGCTCATTTGTGGTCGAATCAGATGAGGAGCCATCGACTTCCATCATTTCCTGCGATTCCATGCCCGCCTTTTCAGCTGCAGGGTCGGTCTTCTCGGTGGCATTTGATTCGTTTGGATTAAATAGCACAGTGTCTACACTGTCTGTGTTTCCTTCGTTGCGATTAAACGGGACAGTATCAACACTGTCGGTGTTCTCGTATTTAATGCTTGTATCCATGGCTTCCATATTTTTTAATTTACGCTGTATGTCCCGCGTGCTTTCAGCTATTTCATCCAATGAACTGTCTTTCATATCAGCCGCGGCTTGATCATCTGTCTTCAACTTGGGACTCTTTCCACTCACAGGTAGAGTAACATCTTCAGCTTTTGACATTTTGAAGGTGCGCTAATTACACCAATTTTCATGAATATTGTTCCTTATCTCGCTTTGTTTACAAAAATTGTGACCGGCAGTGTGACAGCGCCGCCTGACCCTAAGAAATATACCGAAATATACCTTTTCATTATTAAAATATACCGTAAATATACTGACGGACACGACAAGATGCGATGATATTCCTCGATTTTGATATTCGGTTTAATATTGCTAGCAAGCTAAGACTCTCAGCGCTGAACGTTTATTTTTCTACGATTAATTAATCAATTTCCTTAAAGATTTTTCAATCATAAGTACTCAGTTGCTTTACAATTATTCATAAATAAGGTTCAATCAAAAATCAATCTGATGGAAAATTCAATGTTTTACATGGTAACTACACGTTAACTAAACATTTGCTACAAATTAACTACATTTTTATGTAAAATTCGACAGCGACATCTAGCGAGAAAATTTGTATATATAGCTTGGACTTTATATTTTTTTAGGACTTTATCATCCAGATCTTTCACCACAGCACCTCACCTTATAACTAACCGCGGGGGATTCCGTTTTAATACTGGGGCCATACCTCGCCATTGCCCAGACGAGAGAGAGCAATTTACGCTCTCCCGACTCATTTCTGCGTTTGAAATATGAGCCCGAAAATACCCCAGAAATATACCGTCAATATACCGTAAATATACTGACTGACACGAGAAGATGAGTTGATATTCCCCGATTTTGATATTCGGTTTAATATTAATAGTTAGTTAGCCCTTCCAGCCCTAAACAAATAATTTTATCCAATTCATAAATAAATTTTGTACAAGACTGGTTAGTTTTCAGAACTCCTTTGTATTGAATTGTTTACATAATAAGGTTCAAACAAAAACGGCCAAAAGCATAAATCTTATCTGTGTACATAAACGTTTCGTTACGTCGATATTTAGACGTTTAGCAGCACTGATAAATTTGAATTGGAATTTTAAACTGCCAGTAAATATGATTTCCTACCATCCAATAAAGTTAATAATATATGTATGTATGTAGCTTCAAAAAAATTTGCATCGAAAGCAATGCCAATCAGCTGGTCAAACACCACCCAGTAGCTGGCTGAAAAAGTAAATGCATGCATAACTAACAACTTGAGCCTCCACGCACTTGGCTAAGACTCCAAATTTAGAATTTAAATACAGCAATTAAGCTGATTTATATGCTTGCAACAGTGATTGCTTTGCTGCTGCTAGCACAACTCGAGCCCCCAAAAACACTAAGCCCGTCTGCGGCTGGGAACTGCAAGGGAAAAGAACTGTGGCCAAACTTTGGCGCCGTTGCCGTTGTCGCGTATGCAAATTCGTAGCGAAAAAAAAACCCCAACGAGAGCAAACCACAAGACAGCATTTTTAAGTCGGGCATGTGAAAAACAGATTTCCAGCAATCTGGTGCATGCTTATCCATAGGTATATTTTTGTGTTTGTTGGTCAGTTGGAGTTGCAGCGCCACTCAGATGTGTTTGCCGCGTTAATGAATTGCCTTAAATGTCAATTACCATTGGCTTTATCGCCGTCTCTTAATAAGCGTCAATTATTGTGGGTTCTCTGCACTCCTCTCCACTCCTATCCGCACCGCTGATTGTGTGTTTAATTAACGATATATGTATGTTTTATTGCTGCTGTGGCTGTGGCTGCTGTGGCTGCTGTCTGGTGTTGCCTGCGGTAGCAACCACTGATAATTATGATCTTTAGGCCAAGTCATTACAATCAATCGGTTAACAGATGTTGAGACTTGTACGAGTACGAGTTTGCCCATGGAACTGCACTCTGAATGCGCATTTTTAATTGACTTATTGAGCTTTGAAATTGGAAATTGGTTTTCCAGTGTTTTGCATATCGTTTGAAGGTGGGCGGGTGATCTATTCAAAAACGATTAAGCTGCTCGAAATTGCTTGTATGCTGGATGTTGGTGAGGGTGCAGCAGCAGCAGCAGCAACAGCCTAATGAAATTCTTGGATAATCGCTGACATTTCTGGGGCAAAGTTGGAATGAGAAGTGTGGCATCTTCCAGCTGTTCTCTGCATCTTTATTGATCAGAGAATAACTCATACATACACATACATATATCTAACGCCCAGCCGCTCCCTTCAACTCGCATGCGTAACATGCGTAAGTCATGTCAATATTTATTGCGTGACCATTGCCTGGGATACTTAATCATAAAGCGCTACCGCCATCGCCATTACCATTGCCAAATGCTGTCCGTCGCAGTCGCCGTCGCCGTCGCCTGGCCAAGACGGTGTTTGAATGTGTGAAAACGCGGGTTAAGCAACAAATGCCACCATCGACACTGTCTGTGTGTGTGTGTGTGTGGTGTGTTGGTGGAAATAAAGCCGAGCAGAACATAAATTTCACACAAACCTCGAAACACGGGGGGGACACCAACCATCAAGTGCACCTACACAGTGCTCGCCAGCAGGCGACTGCGACGACGGCGGCGACTCCTGGCCAAGTGTCGAGGTGCCAATTAAGGCTACACACTGCGAGTCTTTTGGATATATCACTGCCACACTGCTCTCTGCATAGATACGTACGAGTACATATATTTGTTTGTTTTGTTTTTGTTTTGTTTTTGGGACCAAGTCGAGTGTCATTTGATTCTTGTGGCAGGCTTGCGGCGTTTCATGCGCCTTTGACATGCAACTGGGGCCCAGGCCATGCTTCAAGCTGCCTCTCCATGCCTCCATGCTGTGTCGGCATAGTTTACACGAATCTGAAGCAAAAAAAAAAAAAACTAACAAAATAAAATCAAAAGAAAAAAAATTACGAAATTTGTCGTCTGACAAAAAGCCTAGAAAACGATATAAATTAAACTTACGATTTTGGTGCTCATTAAATGTTCAGTTCACAACTTTTGGACCCCGCGCAAAAGAGAGACCAGCGAAGGCATTTTTCTGTTTTTTTTTGTTTTTTCGGTTTTGTGTCCACGAAAATTAGAACATCGCTTTGGGAAATCGCCGAAATGCTGTTAATTGTTCAGTTTTCGTTTCGTTTTCGGTTTTCGGTTTTCGGTTTTCTCGCGATTGTCACAAATTGAATAATGTCTCAATTGAAAAGCTGAGATCGGAGCTGGCCGGCCTGACAATTGTTTGAAGTTGGTTTGGTAGACTTGGCCAAGAATTACATGCCGCTCAACGGTTGTTCGGCTGTTTTGCCTATTCGTCGTTTGGTCCATTGTATAATCGTGCGGCTTTGATATATATCCTGGCAGTGGAGCAGCTGTTGGAGCAGCTCTCTGGCTCTCCAGGAGACGACAAAAGTGAAAGGCATGCAACATGCAACGCCCACTTCTTGGCTGGACACTCACTCGGTTAAATATAACTAGATTATTATATAATTGTTTGCCATTTGACTAATTTGCCTGCAGCGAAAATAGAGCCAAAGACCCCAAGCAGAAGTGGACGAAAGCCGCGAGTCCATGTCTATGCCAGAAATGGGCCACAGCCGTCGCAGCGAATCAAAGCGAACCGGTAGCCATTTGCCATGTCATGGTGGCAGCAGCAGCAGCAGCAGCAGCAACCCCAATGCCTGGCAATCGCACCACTGACCAACATACGCGGCGGGCAACCGGCTCTGCAACACCACCGATCGATATGGGTCAGAGCGCACAATGTGAGCCAAGCCGAGCCGAGCAGCAGTGTGCCGCACGTAGCAGACGTGAGCTAATCCATGCATCAGATGCAATTTTAATTGCCAATCATCAATGGTATCGGCCAGACCAGACCAGGCCAGGCCAGGCCAGGTGGCGAGGCGACAATTCATCATCAATCGGCAAACAAACCACCCAAAAATGGAACCAAACAACTTTTTCTCTTGCAGTTTGATCTTTAATTCCCGGCGGAAACTTATGACATTGGGGACACTGCGACGAATGGTACGAACTTTCGACACCTAAAACAATCTATAACCATTCTGTATGCCCTTGGATGGGCACTGGCAAAGGCTATTCAAGGCGTAGCTCTCAGATGGAGCTGCAAAAAAGTGATTAAGAACAGATTCAGATTCCAGACAAGATGCACAAATCATTGAAGGTGGAAAACAATAACAATAATATGTAATAATAATACACTAAACAGTTTAGTTTATGTGGCAATTAATTGCTCAAATGTTGGGAGCAAAACCTATGGACTGAATGGAAATTCCACTGTCTGCTGATTGAATCAACTTTTACTCATTTCGCTTTTCCATTTTCATTTTCATTACGTGTGAGTGTGTGTGAGTGTGTGTGCTGTTGCAATAAGCAGTGCAAATGAAAATGAAAAGAAAAGCAAAGCAAAGCTAGTTTAACCAGAGCAGTGCCGGCAGGCCAGATCCAGATCCAGATGCAGGTCCAGTCCCGTCTAAAAATGGGTCTAGCCGGGGGTAGCAGAAGCTGCGGCAGCCTTATATAATGCATCATAGAAATGTAACGCAAGGGGGGGGGGGGAGGCAGCATGAACACCATGTGCAATTTATCTGGCCAGTGATCACTCGAGTGAGAAGTGAGAGAGAGAGAGAGCGAACGACAACTATTTAGGCAACACATGATTCGGTGGCATGTGGCTGAAATCTGCTCCTAATAGACCGGCGATCTGACAGACAGACGGACAGATTTGCATTGCAACATTGGACTGGACTGGAGTGGAGTGGTGTGTGGTGTGGAGTCATAATGCGTTGAGTGACACATTTTGTTGCAGCCCATAAAGGGCAAAACGAAAGACTTGGGCAACGAAAACTGCGTCTTAATTACGTTAATGGCAGCCAAAACTGAAGAGATTCGCAATGAGCCACAGCCAACGATCCATGTGCGATTCTTGTTGCCACAGCCAGCAGCCAGCAGGCAGCAGTCACTAGGCTACCATCCAGGCAGTTGGCAGCCATAAACGTGGCCATAACCAGCAACAGCAGCAGCAGCAGCAGCAGCATTTGTGTAATGTGGGTAATTAAGCGACGCTTTCCGTACACATACACATACAGACAGCGGGTTTTCCCACGATAGCCAGTCCTCCAGTAGTGCCTCCTCCTCCTCCTCCTCCCCACCATTGACTACTGTTTAAGGGGCCACAACTAACTGCCGCCAAGTACCAAAGGCCAATGATATATGCATTTTTCATGCCGCAAAGCAGAGTCAAACTGCATGCAGCCAGCAGCCGGCAGCCAGCAGCCGGCCAACGGGGCAGCGCAGCAACAATGGCAGCCAATGCGCGTTCGTTGCTTATAAATTAGAAGTAGCCGAAATAATAGCCATATTTTGGTTGCCTTTTTGCTTAGTTTTCTGTTGGTTGGTTGTCAAAACCCTCGGAAAAAAAAGGTCAAAGCTTCAACTCGAATGCAGCTGCGTCTGCTGCTGTTGCTGTTGCTGTTGTTGCTGCTGCTGCGGAGGTGGCTTATCTTGGCCATCAGCAGCAGCAGCAGCGGCAGCAGTTCGAGTTCCATGTTCGATTTTTTCGTGGCTGCAAAACTAAAACTGAACGCACTTAAAGCGATTTTCAAGCTGAACAAATTGAGCTGGCGGCTCCAGCTACGATGTGCGATGGTCAATCACGAACCGAACCCCGCCACAAAATCTCCAGCTTCATCTCTGTTTTTCCCTTTTTGGGTTTCCCTGCATAAATGTCAATGACGTCATGGCGGCAAGGGTTGTGTACATTTTTATGCAATTTGCTGGCCGCACGACGTCACCGGCTGACCGCATCCGTGGCAGCAGTTCCACTTGACTGATGAAGCGCATAATTTCGCGGAAATACTTGGCCAGACGAAATGTTTGTGGCCAGACTCGGAGGGACATTTTGCCAGGGCCCGATCGAGCATCGATGGATGGCTATATAAATATCGAACAAGTGCCACATTTCACGCTTAGTAAGCGAGAATCGAACGCGCAGAGGCTGCTGCAGTGCATGGAACTCCAATCCTCGCGAAACGAAACCCAAACACAAAAACATAAACATAAACCAGCAGAGCCATGAAGAGGCGACGCGTAACTGCAGCAGCAACTCGTTTCGGCGGCTTCCGTGTTGCATCGGGGAGGAAGATGGCACTGGCACGCGCCTGCCACACGCTGCTGGGGCTAATTGTGGCATTCGGAATGATTTGCGTGTGCTCGGCCGTCGGCTATTCCTATGCGCGCTTCGAGGGTCCGGTGGCGGGGCCAGAGCACCTGGTGACGGTCCACAACGGACGCACCGATTATGTGGCACGGCCCGAGTACAGCTTCGCCTATGGCGTCGAAGATGGCAAGACGCGTGTGCTGCAGAACCGCAAAGAGACGCGCAACGGGGACGCGGTGCGCGGCGTCTACAGGTAGGTGTACAGCTGTGCATTTTAGGGGACAGCATTCATTAATGTCACGCAATCCACGCAGCGTAGTCGATCCCGATGGCACCCTGCGTGTGGTTAAGTACACCGCCGACGATGCCAATGGCTTCCAGGCGGAGGTTATCACGAATGGTGTGAAATCATTGCACGGCCATGGCGATGCTGGCGCCGCCAGTGGTGGTGGTGCGTCGGTGGACGAACAGGTGAGGCATGACAGCGCTGCCGAAACAGAGGCAGCGGCCGACGATGAAGCGGAGGAGGAGCAGGCCAATGGCAATGCCCACTACAAGGTGCACGAGGACTACGACGAGGGAGAGGAGAAAGAGAAGGATGGAGGCGATGAGCAGGAGGAGGAGGAGGAGGAGGAGGGTGGTGGTGGCGATCATCAGGAGTACGAGGGCAGCAGCGAGGAGGGCTACGACGAGGCCGATGCTCACAGTCAGCAGCAGGAGAGCAGCGAAGAGTATTAGATGCTCAGCCGAAGGATTCTCCACCCCTACTCTATAAGCTCCCATATGTACCCACTATTATTTTGTGATAAACCAGAAATACACCAAACAAAATACTCACACAAATTCCAGATACTCCGCTCCAGATTCGAGTGGGGATCCATCCTCTTGTACCTTGCATAATCAAACCCCCAAACTCTGACCCGCAACAAGAGCCCGAGCCAGAGTTCGGAATAAAACACTAATTGAAATATCCAGCCATGGATGGGGGAGAGTGGGGGGTGGTTTGCGTAACCGCCACCACATCAACGTCATGGACATGGCTCCAGTGGACATCGAGCAAGTGAAGCGTGTGCTCCCAGCGCCAGCTCTGATTTGGACTACGACTTTGATTCAATTTCGATTTCGATTTCATTTTCGCATGGACTCAATCAAGCAGAGCGCAGAGCCAGAGACTGTCAGGCTGATCCGATGGACATGCAAGTTTGTTGCAAGCTCAGAAATATCTATTTGCCCCGCTGCGTGTGTACGCTCCAGTTGTGTGGTGCGTGTGTGTGTGTGTGTCTTCGAGTGGCTCTGGTTGTGGTGCCATTTCGTCACTCGCTTAATTTCAAACGCGCAAATGCGCAAAATCCCATTAAATGTGCGAAAATCAAAGCAGCAGCAGAGGAGAGCAGAGGAGAGCAGAGCAGAGCAGCGAGCAGTGAAGCGGTGGGCCATGCTCTATGAGTGGGTTAGTGGTGGAAAGTGGATCAGACGACCGTCTGGTTTTTGCCAGCGATGCGGTAATAATGCTGCAATGTCTGATGCTGGCCAAATGGAGTCGGTAATCTCACAATTGAGTCGCCGACAAAATTGGGTTGGCAGCCGCCATCCAAAACGCAAACGGAGACGCAGAGGCAGTCGGATCGGGCTAATTGACAGCCAACTTATGGCCCACTAATGGTCCTGCCCCCCCCCGTTCCGCGCTTAGCGGCATAGAATGAAAGACTTACAACCAAAAATCAAAGACTGGTGAAGCGTGTGCGTCCGTCACGGACGTGCAAGAATTTCGCACTCGAAATGTTTTAATTAGTTGAAAGACTCTGCCAGTGGCCGAGTCGCCTAGTAATTGGAGAGCCGAAGATCTGCACACACACACTGTGCCATTTCGGAAGTGCATGGCTTGCATAAGCCATCCCTACCGGATATGGCACGTTACGCATACGCAGCATTGTGCAACGCTTTGAATTTCAGTGCTGCCTGCTGCATTCGCTGCAGTGACTTTCTAATGGATGCTGTACACCGCCCCAGGCCATTGTCCAGCCGGTGATAAAGCCTAAGCAACCCGCAAGGCCTTCAGGTCTCAATCATGCACAAGAAACACAAAACAAAAATTGCTTTGCCCACTGCATAAATCAAGGCACAAATCTATAACTGTCAAGTCATTTAAGCCAGTGGTTAAACATTACGGGGGAATGGTGGAATGGGGGGGCACAGCAAAAGGGAGTCGACTAGCTAGATGACTAGTAGGAGATTGAATATTTATGCTCCACACTCCACCTATATACCCCGCTGATACTGCGGCATATTGGCCATGCAAAGTGCGTTTAAATGTTCGATCGAATTGCTGCCTGCACTCGCTGCCCTCCCTCCCACGACAAACCATTGTCCAAACATAGGCAAACAAACTGCCAGATTTGCGGGCACACTCGTAAATCAAGATAAAAACTTTGTTCTACTTATCGACAGTCACAGCCATAAATATAATAAATCTCCAGTTACGCTCACCCGAGCGGGGAGTAGCGGGGAGTGCAGCAGAGAGTGCGTGGACAAGTGCAATTAACGCATGCAAAACGACGCTTGCGCGTATTCCCGCCATCGATCAACAAAATGTCGCATTGAGAGGTCCGAGAGAGATACTCGCGTGGCATTGCGCAATCGTCGATCGATCGGAAAACACAGACGCCAGCCAGCACAGCACAGATCCCAGACAAAGACAAAGACAAAAGCCAAAAAGCTTAGCAGCTTGTTGAAGTCATTTCGGTTTTCCAACTGTGTCTTGTCCGCTGACCAACTAACCAACTAACCAACTAAACCCAGCTCCTAGGGGCAGCTCCTCTGCCCGCTCCAACTCCTGGCTGGCTCGCTGTCAAAGTGCGATCGTGACGTGGCCAGCTTGTTTCCCAGCCAGCCAGCCAGCCAGCCAGCCAGCCCTCCTGTGCTCCACCACCTCCGACAGAGTTGGAGTCGCAGTTTTTCTTTTTGTTGTGTTTGTGGCTGTGACTGTGACTGTGTTTTTTTTCGGCCACAATTGTTTGCGAGCGATTTTCGGCCAGCCGTGTAAATGTGTCGCCTTTAAAGCCATTTTATGTAAGTCGATTCTGTGTCTGTGTCTTTTTCTTTGTCTTGGCTCTCCTCCATGCCACATGCTAATGGCCCAGGCCCAGGCCCAGACATAGAGCCCAGGCTCTCTATCCACAGATCTTTTATAGTGCGATTTGTGGCCACTTTTGGCTTGTTTCGTTTCGTTTCGTTTCGCTTAGTTTCGTTTTTGCACCTCCACTGCCGCCGCCACAAACATCCAGTTTTTGTTTCCCATAGTTTTTGTGTACTGCTTGCTTGTTGGCTGTGCTGTGCTGTGCTGTGCTGAGTGCCTCACCATTTAATGGCCACTTGTGTGTGTTTTATAAGATACAATCATAATTTTCTGATATGTCATGCCAGAATTGTTTGTTTTGGTTGCTTTTGTTGTTGCTGCCGCTGCCGCTGCAGTTGCGGCTTGTCGTGGGTGTTGCCGCAAACTTTAACTAAGATTAAGAGTCCGCGAATGACTGGAAAAGATTTGATTGGGGAGTTTAAATAAAATAAACCAATTGCGGCGGTATGGAATTCTCAGTTGAATTCAAGGATTATCATATAAATATTTATGATTATTCGTAACTAATCTTTCAAGCTGACATGAGGATATCTTGAGAGGTTAAACCAAAGCACAGCAGGAGACAAATCATATATTATTTATTGAGGGGAGTAGCTGCAATCACTCCGTGCCATACCCATTACCTTCCACATTATTAATTTCTCACAGCATTTTCTGCCTTTCATTCCCCGATAATAATTTGTCGCATGCCACAGAGCGAGAATATTGATTGAGCAGCATTTGATTCGAGTCAAACTATTTGCCAACACCGTGAAATTCCGCTGGCACACACACACACACCACACACCACACACATAGCGCTCCCCGGGCAAAGTTCTCCAGATTGTGGCAGTAATAAACCGAAGTCGGGCACAAAAATGTCAGGCAACAAATTGCGTGGCATGAAAAATACGCAAGTTGTGGCTCAAGCATTTTTGTGGCTCTGGCTCGTTGTTGTTGGCGTGGTGGTAATTATAACGACGCCCCGTTTGATTGCCACAGATATGGTAATAATATTTTTTTTCTATTTTTCCTCTTTTTCTTTTTTTTTTTGGCCAAGTTGTGCAAAACCAGAAAGCAGCCAAAGCCAAAACCAAAACCAAAGCCAAAGAGACTAAACCCGATCGTAATTATGTCGGCAAATCAATAAATAAAGAGCTTAGATCATTAGACGCAATCCTCCCCCCTCCACCACCTCCTGAGGGGGAGCTAGGCCCAAGAGTACTCCGTACCCTATGGAGAAAAACTAAGTCAGCCAAACGCCTTCTCAAAACCAATGCCGCACCTAGCGCTAGAGCTGGGGGGATCATTGTTGTGGTGCACATGCGTGGTATGGCCACACGGCTCTGCACTGCAGCACCTCGCTGTGTCGCTGCGGCTGTAACTGCAACTGATGGCTGGCTGGCTGGCTGGCTGTGCCTCCTCCCCCACCCGGCCCGATCCGTGGCAGCTGCAGCACCGATCTCTTGCTGCTGCTGCTGCGGCTGCGGCTGCTGCTGTCGTCGTCGTCGCCATCGTCGTTGGCCAAGTCGTGTTGCACTCGGCCTCCGACGCGTATATAAATACTTTTGGTCATCGTTGCAGACATCAGTTCAGCTTACGAATTCGTGCTATTCACGGTCCTCCACTCTCGAGCACACACAATCCTCACAGTCGCAGTCACAGCGTCAAGGAATCATCGCCAAGTCCTTCGTCCTCTCGATAGCTACGTGTTCGCGTCGTTCGTGTCGTCCGTTTTGTTTGTCGTTTTTGTGCTCTAACCCCAACATGAAGGTGTGTGTCCCCCTGCCTCCCCCCCAGACCATCCCCAGTACCTACTCAAAGTGACAAAAACAAAAAAAAACCCACCCTGATCCTGATTCTCTCCCACCCATACAGTATTTCATTGCCATCGCTCTGTTGTTCGCCGCCGCCCAGGCCGTTCCCATCGAGCTGGGCCACTATGGCCCCGCGCTGGTGCATCATGCGCCCGTGCTGACCCACGCTGTTCATGCCGTTCACGCCGAGCCGGTGGCCTATCCCAAATACTCCTTCAACTATGGCATCAAGGATCCCCACACTGGCGACATCAAGTCGCAGGCCGAGGAGCGCGATGGCGATGTGGTGAAGGGTAAATATTTCCAATCAAAAACAGAACAAAACAGAACAGAACAGATGACTTTGGCAACAAACTTGAAGAACCAAAGACTGAGGACACGAACTTGCCAGCGAATCTGATGGAATCCAAATAAATATAATTCTGTTAATTGTTCCATTTCGCAGGCCAGTACTCCCTGGTTGAGCCCGATGGCTCTGTGCGCACCGTCGACTACACCGCCGACGATCACAATGGCTTCAATGCCGTCGTCCATAAGACCGCACCCAAGATCCTTCACCATGCGCCCGTTGTGCACGCCCCCATCCTGGCGCACGCCCCTCTGCTGCACCACTACTAAGCGGTAGCTGGATCCCGTCGCACAGGTGCTCTATCTCACATCCATACGCAAAACACACACAAAAACAAGCAGCAACCACAGCACAGAATCATAGGAACCACAAGAAAACGAAAAGAAAAACCACAAAAAAAAAAACAAAAACAAAAAACAAAAACAAACAAACAAATCAACACACAAAAATGTAAAAAGTAAGTGTAGCTAAGAGTTTAGTAGAACACGGGAGCGCCTTCGTGGGCGATCCCGGCACCCGGCTGATCCTGGCATGGCATGGACGAAGGATAAAAACGATACCCAGATGAGGGCAAACACCGAGAAGAAATTTCATAACGACTTGGCATTCGGAATGACTTGATCACAGATCACAGAAGAGGTACACAAATGATGATGGATGATGGATAACAATCATTTTTACGCGGCGCAGAACGGCAGCACTCCACACACAAATGGAGGATCGGTTATCTTATATATGCTACATAATACTTATATATATATATGATTAACGTTAATCAGCAGCAGACTTTTGCACAGGGCCCAGAACTGAGCGATGGACGAAAGCCAAGGGCAAAGGCAAAGGCCTCTGGCAGCAAGAACTTAACTCTACTCTACAATACTACCCCCTGATCTTGATATAGAACACTATTTATATTCTCGGTTCTATCTATTTTTCAAAGCTCAAACTTTTGTAATATATTTATGTGTGCTGTGCGCTCTCCTCTTCACCTTCCCCTCTCTCTCGCTCTCTCTCTGTCTCTCTCCTATTTTCTCTTATTTTCTGTTCTGCTCCTCAAGCCTTTGCAGTGTTCGTCAAGCAGTGGCCCCAACTACATCCCCATTTAACATATGCCTTGGGGCGTGCTCTTCTTCAGAGAACCTTGTGCCATTGCGGGATGGGGTGGCACCGTTTGACAGCAATTGGTCCCCAGCCTCAGTTCAATCGGGATATATATTTGTGTGAATACGATAGGTTAATGGAGAACCCTCTCCCCGTGACGGGCCGGTAATTGTGCATTAGAATTCTAGCTCTTAAATAATTGTTATCCATACGAACTCATTCTGTTTATATTTCTTCTTCATCTCACTCTCACCGACTCACTCACTCTCACTGACTCCCCGCCTCACCATCTCTCTCACTCCTTCCTCACTCTCTCTCTCTCCAACTCTCTGTCTGACTCTCTCACTGACTCTCTCTCTCACTGTCTCTCTGACTCTGTCTCAAACTCACTCAGTCTGACACTTTTGTATCTAGTTTCATTTTTTGCATTTAGTATTTTGTCACATTTATTGTGTATTTATAAACAATTATGCAGCTTAATTTTAAACAAGAAAAACATAGAAAAAATCCACACAAAAAAAGGAACGATCTTTGTACTTAATTTGTAGGCCTGCGCGTAGGCAGCGGCGAAACGATCGATGAACAACAAAAAAAAAACAAAAACCAACCAACTCTCACATGTCTCTCACGTCTCAAAAGGTTCATTTGGGCCTTACACTTATGTACCATATATATTCCCCACATAAGCATTTGTGTGCGCAACAACAGCAAACAACGAACGAAATGCAAAAACTTTTTTATGCAAAAATTTTAAAATGTATAGAAAAAAGCGAAAAAAAAATAAAATAAAAATCATATTTAAAAAAAAAACTTTTCTCTTTGAGTTTTTCTTTTTTACCAACGAAGGTCATGAAGATTAGCATGGATGGGCCATAATTATAACATTTATGAAAGAGGGAAAAAAAAGAGGGAACACTTAGCATTCTGGTGAAGTATTTCTAATGGGGGAGATTCACACTCGAGCTCGAAAGAGAATTCCATTCTGCTTTGGGTTCTCGACTCTTCAGTCTGGCGGAGCCATCCAAAGTACGCGGAAGTCCAGAGCTGGCCCATACAGCGAAATAATTGTGATTAATAGGAATATTATAGATATGCGCAGATCATTAATATTCAACATGGGATCTTTGAGCACTTTGTTTTGGTTCATTGTAAGTGCCCTGAAATAACGAAAACAATTGGAAAAATATTTGAGATTTGTTCATCATAGAAGAAGAATTCATGTGGTGCGGTTGAAAATATTAAACAGTGAAATTTACAAAAAAAAGGAGAAGAAGATTCCGGGGAAGTGAATAACTGCTTTAAGCTTGAAGAGATTATAATTTAATTGCGAATCGAATTGGTGAGAAAAAGTTAAAGTTTTGTAGTTTGAAATTTGAGAGAATGCATAAGAAACGACTGGGAATCAATTGCTTAAGATCTACGTTTGGTAATGCGAGTATTTTCTTCATTCTAAACCCACTTCAAACTGTGTGAAACTGAACTACTTGCAGACCTTTCATAGGGATTGGACTTTCATAGCTGGCAAAGTTGTTCAGCAGAAGATTTACCCACTCTTTAAGCTCTACAAACTCAAAGCTTTACATCTCCCAAATATATGCTACAAAATAATTCCTTGGTCTATCCACAGCTATTCGTATTAATCATAAAAGTATACGCCACGTTGGCCAACCCACTGGCTGCCAAAAGTGAAGCATATTCGAAGACAGCAGCGAAAAATGCCGGCAAAAAAGCGAAAGTAACTAACTATTTTCTGCACGAGCCATACGGTAGGCTACAAGCTCCAAGTCTTTATAAAATTTGCATTAATTTTGTGAGTTTCAGGAACCAATACATACGCCTTTGGCTATGAGATCGACGATCCGCAGACGCAGAACATACAGTTCCGCGATGAGCGACGCTTTGTGAATGGCAGCGTTGAGGGCAGCTACGGTTATGTGCGGCCCGACGGCCTCGTCGAGGTCACCAAGTACCGGGCCGATGAGAATGGCGGCTTCTTGGCTCAGACGCAGAGCTTTCAGCCGGGGGATGAACAGGCGAAGACGGTGTGGCCCACCCAACGACCAGACATCATTGTGGAGAGAAAGAAGCAGCAGTCGCCGGCCAATGTCACGTGGGATCCCAAGAGTCATCTCAATGTGAGCGTCTCCCATGTGGCCGCCGATGTGGCCCAGCAGCTGAAGGAGCAGCACGGTCTCGACCTGAACCACATCGATGTGACCAAAGACGTTCTACAGCCGGCCGTGCTCGATGTGGTGCAGGGCAAGGCCCCCCTAAAGAACCAGACGAAGGACGGAACGCCCTTCCAACCGGTTCAAAATGTGATACCCAATCGTTTTCCCATCGCTCCCTTTATGCTGCCCACGGACACGGAGCCCATCAAGGCCACAACCGAGGAACCGAAGCCCAAAGCAAATGCCAATCCCAAGTACAATAGAGCGAAGACCAACAATGCGGAGAAGGCGCCGCAGGTGGAGGTGCCCGATTCGGGACTGCTGCCACCCAGGCCATTGGTCAATGAGGCTCCAAGCGATGCAAATTGGTACCAGCGGATCATTGATGCAAATCGTCGCGAATTCCTCACCAATCTACCAAACTTAAGCCAAACTAAAGTAAATGCCTGAAAATGTTCCCCCCAAAAATAGCATGGAGAAGGGAGATACATCCAGTACTCGTATTAGTTAGACCAGCCCTCCGCTAGTTAGCTATTAGGTAAGCGCTTCTTTCACTTTTCGATGGCCACGTAAATCGTACCGCAGATAGCTTGGCCACAGAAAAAATAAACCAGACATAAACCAGAAGAGATACAACAAAAGAATGCCACCACACACTGCACAGCAAAGCACTGCACAGCACAGCACAGCACAGCAAAAGCATAATTGAGGCTGCAATAAAAGTGAGACAAAAAAAGACGAAAAGATTGAAATATTTGAAATATCTTCCGGGTGGCAAATTGGAGTAGAGCCAGAGCCAGAGCCAAAAAGCCGCCAAAGTCTTGATCCCAATCTAAATCGCTTGCCACCAGGGGTTTGCCTTCGCCGCCTTTGAAGTGCGATCGATGAGGCAACTTTCAAGCATTTGTAGGTTAAATTGTGGGCGACACAACGGGTCTGTATGGATGGCAGTATTCACATATGTAGATGCAGCTGCAGCTGGATATTTCCCTGCTTCAGGAAGACATCATCCATATCACGTTCCAGTCAAGTGTAAATGCTTGGCCATTTAATTGCTCCAAATTTCCAAATGCGTTTGCCAAACGGAAAAAGAAAACGACAAAACGGAAGGAAATGCGAAATGCATTTTGATTTCTGCTTTTTCAGTGTTTGCTTTAACTCTCCTGTCCTCTGCTCCGCTCCTCTCCTCTCTCCGTTGCACATATTTATGCTGATTTATTATTCCATTATTGCAGCGGTTTTTAATTTGTGGCACGCACACACCAGCCCCACATGGCACTTGGGACTGCATTGTGCAATGTTTGTGCTGCCAAAAAGCACTCCGAAACACTCCTAGCAAGCCCATCAACAGCAGCCCCCTGAAACTTGATACTTTTCAACATTTTAGCTATGTATTCTTCGATTTTATATGTACTTTACTCGCATTTATTGCCCACGTATGTTGTTTGTTGTACATTCACTTTTAATGCCTCAATGGGATGGCCACAAATGCGAGTATTCGCAGCGGAGCAGCGGGAAAGCCTTAACCAGATCTGGCTCTGTTTTTTATCTGCTGCTGCTTCTTCCACTACTGATTCTGTTCTCTTTGACAGCTCTAGCTATGCCTTTGTTGTTGCACTTTCTGTAGGGTTTTCCTTTGCCCCATACTCATAATTATGGGGGCTGCTTGGCTGCATGCCAAACTTTCATATGCATTCGAGTGTTTTATTGTATGTTAATTAAATTGCTGCCACGTTCATTCCATTCCATTCCATTTCATTACGTTACATTTCGACTGGCTTCTTTCTTTCTTTCACTTCTTTGCGCTGGGGCATACATATTTGGTCATTAACTAATTGCTGGCAGGCCGCTGAGGTAATCTGGCTTGCAAAACCCCCTCCAATGGGAGGGAGGGAGGTAGGGTTTTGCTGCTCTGTGAAAGTGTTTTGTGCCTTTCTTGCAGCTATACATATTACAAATTCCATTACGTATACGCACAGTGGGCCCAACGAGTTGTCTGGGTGGCAAGTGGCCAGTGGCAATTGCACTTCAACTTAACATTGAGCCAGCGAGCGGGCGGGCGTTGTCCCTGCAACACTCTGCCTTGGACTTTGCCACAAACGTTATAAATGAAACATAATTTTGTCGACGCTGACAACTTGATTAGAGAAGTTGCAGGCGGGTTTTTGGTCTGCACCAGCAGCAGCAGCACCACCACAAGCTCCTGTCCAAAGGCGGTTGCATAAATTTAACAATTTTATAATCTCGATATGGTCGAAACTGGTAAATTTCATAATATCCGGTTAGAGCGCGCTTGAAAAGTTGTTAATTTGTTGCATCTCAGGCGGACAGCAGGAAAAACAAAACTCAACGCCGGCGTAGCCGCCAAAACTGACAGCAATTAGCCGGGGCCAGTGACAGCCACGGAATAAGGTAAAAGTATTTAACCTACTTTGCTATGGCCAGGTCCTCCTGCAGCCAGCAGCCTGCCGCCTGCCTCCTGCTTCAGGTTTTTCATTGTAGGAAGTTTTTGAGCAGCAGCATAGGAGAAACATTTCCAATTGGCGCCTAATTAATGAGACTCAGAGTCCATGGGAAAAACTCGATCAATTTCCTCCTCGATCTAGCCGCTGCCCACCCGCAGATGTGTGAAGAAAAATGTCAAATTAAAATAATTAACAATTTAACAATTAGTGGGGGGAACTGGGGACTGTGAATGCAAAGCCAAAATATGTTGATCAGTCAATGTGATACAATTGGAGGCTGCGTGAAAATTCAATTGGAATATTTCTTTGCTGCTGTTGCGGCTGCTGTGGCTGCTGCTGCGACTGAGTGGGTCGCCGCTCAGTTGGCTTTTCCGCGTGTGTTTCCAGCCTGGAATGGAGAGTGTCGCTCGACTGTCTCAGCTGCCACATGATATGATTATGTGATTTGGCAATTTGCATTTAATTAATTTGCATCAGCTATTTATTATGTCAACGGCAGCAATGGGAGACGAGACGCAAGCTGCACGCTGCAAGCTGCTTAGACTTTTCACGGGAGGAGTCTCTGGCGAGGGTAGCAATTGCCGCCTTGGGTGTTACCGCACCAAAATCCAACTGAATATTATTTGTTACCGTTGAAAGGCTTTTCAGATTATGCTGCAGCAGACAGCAGGTTATGTCACGGGCTCAGCTCTCAAAGAGTGCATAATCCGTGCATGATGATGATGATGATGATGATAATGATGGGAGTGGATGAGAGGGAGTCGTGGCCGAGTGATTGAATAATGAAGGATTGCAAGCAAATGGAAGCCGACAGGAATAAGCGAAGACAGTCATAATCTACTCTATGGGCTAATTGAATGATGAAATGCTGATCATTTGGTGTCTGCAGCTGGTTTTATGGCCACCATTGCGCATACGCAGCGTGTGACGATCTTCATCTGATCAATCAGCGGAAAAGTGCTTCCACACGGCAGCACCACGCACCGCACCGATTTTAGTGGCATTAACTTGTTACTGCTGCTGATGTTGCAGTTGCGTTTTTAAGTTCAATGTGCGCTGGCAATTAGCGGAATATTTCTGCCATTTTCCTCTTGACCACACACACACACACACACAGACACGCATATTTTAGTTTAGTTCATGTCTGCAAAACCGGCCAAGCGGTCGTCTCCAGCCAATTCGTGTTTTATTCGTTTTGCCTTCAAATAAATTAATATAAATTGCAGCCAATCGAATAAATACAAGAAGCTCCCACAAATGTATGTAATTTTCAATTACAGCAGCATACAACAATCGCTGCTGCTGCTGCTTCTGCTGCCTCTGCTGCTGCTGCCTTTGCTGCTGTTGCGTAAGTTCAAGCTGCATAAAAGGATAACCATTAAAAGAGCAACATCTGTAGAAGCAACATCTGCAGCAGCAGCAGCGGCACCAACTACATCAGCAATTCCCACAACTATTTTGGGAAAGATGCACGCGTCGCTGGCTTGTTAAGTTGCAAGGTTTTTCTTTCCCCAACTGCGGCTCTAATAAATATGAAACAATGAGACAAAAGTCAAAGATTGCTGCTGATTGTCTGCCATTGTTGCTGCTGTTTTACCAGTACTCGTACTCACTCGTACTTAGTACTCTATGTTTGCCAACAATCACTTAAGGCAGGCCAGTGTTTAGCTGCCTGCCACAGCAGGGTCTTATAATTTATGTTGCATGTTTGTCATGCTCCAAAGAAGGAATACAAGCAGATCTATGCTTATGCTTATGCGTGGTATATCATCAGATAGGTGGATAGGTGGAATGAGTGAGTTGGATCAGTCAGCGATAGGTACCCATATGTATCACTTGGCAGCATTTCCAACAATCCATTCACAAGGGTATCTAATGCTTCGACCTACGCAAAACAGCCTTTCATTATTTGGTTTTTTTTTTTTTAATTTCGTTTTTGTTTGGGTTTGTTTGGACGACGTCGCAAATGTATGGCAGAAACCTCAGACAGCAGCAGCAGCAGCAGCAACAGCAGCAGGAGCAGTTCAGTCGGCCAAGTTAATGCATGTACTAAATGTCTAACGGTAAATATGAGTTACTAGGTAATTGCTTGGCCTGCTTAACAACAGCTGTTACGTTACGAGTACTCCTATACGACGTTCAACGTACGATGAACAGGCGCGCATGCGCATGCTCATGCGACTGCACATAACAACCAACAGCCAACAGCCAACCGCCACTCGCATTTTGACTTTTCACTTTTGTGAGTGGGAACGGGAATGGAATTGATTGAGTGGCTCTGGTGTAAAAGTTACCCCCAGGCCAGCGCCACAAACGTATCTAAACTATAACTAACCAAAGAAATTAACACCTGCCCGGCCAGAGCAGAGCCAAAGCCAAAGACAAAGCTTCAATGAGCAAACAAAATGAAAATTTAGTGTGCGATTACGACGACAAAAAACAACTAAACTCAGAAAAAAAAAGTATCAGAAATATTTGAGGCAATAGCTGGCAACAAAATCAGCCGAAAAAAGGGAATTAACGAAAGCTGAATACGCTGCAAAATATAATTCCATATCTAAAGATATATTTGTAGAAACACTAAAGCAATGGAAATCCAAATTCTAATATTTAAGTATCATATGTATCATCATAAGTATCAGATTTGTATACCACAAACCTACTCCCTTATTCAATATGCTTTGATGCCGAAAATGTATTACAAGAAATCTAGCCTCAAACTGCAGCAGCCTGAAAATTGTATCAGCATTGCGTTCAATTTGTGGCGCTTCGACGAATTGCCAAATGCCTCCTATGCGCCTTGGTATGCCATGACGACGACAACGACGACTTCAACTCAGCTGCGAGTCGAGTGTGGCATGTTGACTTGCGTTATATTTTCCACTTGCTGCAACGGCAAAGCTCCACACAAAATACAAAAAACAAACAAAAAAAGTACAAAAAAACAGGAGACGTAGACCCCAAATCGTGGGCCATAATTAAGCATTTATTTTATTTGCCATATTTCTTGTGCTGCTTTCGGGATTTACACGTACTGTACTGGCCGCCGTACAGGCGGATTGGTAATCATCATGAAAAATGTTTCTTTTTATCCATCTTGTCGCGTCGCGTCGCGTCGGTCGCTTTTCAGTTTTGTTTCTCATGTCTCGCAATGTTGTCAAACGTTGTCGACCATAATATAGCAATTAAAAGTGTGTCTGTCTTTAAGAGTACATCAACCTGATGTCATTCGTTGCGATTCATTTCACTGTGCATCGATTTGAATCGATGGGGAGCCTGAGCAATGCAGATGGAGGCTTTGCAAAGTGCCTAAAGTCCAAGACACGAAATCCAAATATTTGCTTAAGATATTGGCCAACAAGTTGTCGATGAACTAGATTGCTGGCAGAGCGGCAGTGAGGAGTTGATGCTTTCGAGGATGATGGGAATGGGTTTATGTGTTGCTGCACATCGTTTAGCAAAAAGACAACTTGAAACCCTTGAAAACAGAAACTCCCTCCCTTAACCAAACCAAACAAAAGCAATCCACGCTCCGATGCGTAATTAGCTTCCAACCAAATGGAGGATTGTCGAAAGACCAAAAATTGGTTAATTTTCCACTGCAATTGTGGCACTTAACTTTGACTCGAAGTACAGTCCGGGCCGTGTATGAAAGACATCCAAAAAGTGCTTGCAGCTACACGGAGAGAAAACTTCTGTTTATGTCGCACAATTAAATATTACAAAATGGGCCAAGTGCCCGTGCCGTGCCGTGCCGGCCTGCAGACCCAATTCAATTTACCATTTACGAATAACGATTTTACGAAAATTAGCGCATTAAAAGTGAATGATCAACCGGAGGCTGTACGTAATAGAAGGTTGCCCAGCAGCAGCCACGAAAAATCATCTAAACGAATATTTGGGTCAAACTGCGTTCAGAAAACGTTCAGGGGGGGTATTAGGGGGAAATGCAAATAAGCGGATAGTTAAAAAAAAAAAAAAAAATATTATTAACAAACCATTTCAGCCGTCAGGCTGGCTGTCAGCGATGTTGCAAGTTCCCCCCAAATCCCAATGACGACTTATCAACGCCATCGAAGTGCTGCCACAGCCAGTGAATGCGTCACTAATGACACACAAAGAGTCCTGCACCACAGTGCAACAGTCCAACAAACATTCAACATCGGATACCAAACAATGGCAAACAAAGCGAACCAAAAAAAAAAAAGCAAGAAGGAAAAACTGAACTGTTTTACATTTGAGGCGCCCCACCGCTCGCTCACCTGGCGCTGCGGCTTCGCTGCTCAAGTCGCTGCTGCTGCTGCCACTGCCACTGCTGCTGCCACTGCTGCTGCTGCTGTCGATTCACTTTCTTCCTAACCATATAAAAGCGGCGAATTTTCGTTGCAAGCACATTATTCAGTTGTGGAAAGTCGTTGCGTGCAGCTCGTGGCATCTCAACCAAGTCTCAGTCTCCAGTTACATTTTGTGTTTCCTTTGTGATCTCGAACGAAAAACAAACTCAACAAAAAACTATATTAAAATGGCGTTCAAGGTGAGCAGCAGCAGCAGCGGCAGCGGCAGCAGCAGCCAAGGATTAAGGATATCAAAATGTGCACAATGAACTGTAACCAAATAAACCCACAAGGACATACCTAACAGATCCGAAACGGATCAAGTGAAAGAAGTGAACAAACAGTGCATTGACACCATTATGTGGCCTATGTATAAAGGATCTTGGGTTCAGCATTTATCTCAAATGGTGGTGTGAAATATAAAGAATGATTTGGGTATTAAATTTAAGAAGAAAATCTAAAACCTTCAGCCAGTTAAACAGAATTTACTGTATTAAAACAGTCCTTGCCAGGGAATAGAAATCTGATTGAAATATAAATGAGAAAGAATAGTCCTTTTAGGAGTAGAATTCAATGCAACATACGAACACAAAAGACCTTTCCAGGCATACTAATCTCCTGCTGAAAGGGTAATTCACTCACTCACTTGGGGTACTCCAAGTTTGAACAGTTTTTACAGCGTCTTAGGTCGAAAAAAAACCAAAACGAAACCACAAAGAAAACCACAGCAATAGTTAAACAATAGCTTATGTCAACCACAGCAAACACTTCATTAACTAACCACAAAAAAAAAAAGAGCTGAAATATGCAGCCATTACATGGAAAGTGACAGGCAACAGGCCGCCCCCACAGTCTTGCCGACCCCCCCACTAATTGCAATGAGTAGTTGCAAATGTTGATGTTTATGTGAACAAAAACAATTAGCAAAGATCTCCGCTTAGTTGTTAATTATGCGCTTGCATTGCAGTACCTGATCTTTGCCTCGGCGCTGTGCCTGAGCCTGGCCTATCCGCTGGAGCATCAGCACCAGTACTACGACGAGAGCCACGGCTACGAGCACCTGGTGCAACACGAGCCAGAGCCGATACACGAGTACGGACAGCATCAGCAGATCGAGCGCATCTCGCAGGGCGAGGAGCATGGACACCACGAGCAGGCGCACTATGAGACCCACGAGCACGAGGATCATCATGTGGACTACTATGTGAGTGGGAGGACACACTGCACGCTGCAAGGGATCAGGAGTAGCTAATGGTCTGTCTTCTCTCCCCCTTTTATTACAGGCCCCTCCCAAGTATGCCTTCAAGTATGGAGTCAATGACTTCCACACTGGCGATGTCAAGTCACAGCACGAGACCCGCGACGGTGACACCGTGAAGGGCCAGTACTCGCTGGTTGAGCCCGACGGTTCCATTCGCACCGTGGACTACACTGCCGACAAGCACAACGGCTTCAATGCCGTCGTCCACAAGACTGCCCCCGTGCACCATTCCCATGAGGAGCTGCACGAGCATCACTACTAGACGAGACCGGCGAGGACAGACCCATAGACTATCCTACGTTTAACTTTGCACTAGAGTTAGCCAAATTCAGCCTCATCAGCCAACAGAACAGCATCCAGAACGATCGACCATGAAATCAGCTTCATATCTCGTAATTAGGACACATCAGCACACACATGCCACATGCCACATGCCACAGGCCCCAACAGCAAAAGCAAACGGGGGTGGTGGCCCAATCTTCACTAGACTCTTCCCCTTGTGGTCATGTCTTCTACTTCATAATCATTTTTACTCATAAATATTGTATTTTATTCTGTGATAGCGAATAATAATTTCTACGTGCATCTTCCGCTTTCAACTGATCCTTAGTCACTTCTGCTCAGACGAATTTATCAATCACTTGACTGTAATCTGTAATCTATAATCTATATGTATACTTATGTCTTCTTGTTAAATCTGTTACAGAGATCAAACGAATGAATTGTAAATTGTGTAATAAAGTGTGAATTATGTACTTTTTATAAAACCAAAAAAACCCACCCGACCACTGACCATAATTTCAACAGTCGGGGGCAATCATTGAACTTGGGCGGCTGCATGGACAGCCACGCCACTCTTGAAATGAATGACCAAATGTCTGCATCTTGGCCAACTGGTTTATGCGTTTTGCAGCAATAAAAGCAATTACAAGACATCGTTAGACACATTTTCCGGATCGCAAACGAGTTGTGCGTTTTGTTTTGATTGAAATTATATAAGCTGCAATTGGAAGAGTGGTATAAAATGCTTCCTAAATGTCCAAAAAGCAGGAGTTGGCGATATTTATGGCTGGCAACAATACATAAACTCAAATTGAACAATTAATTAGCTTGTCCATCCATATACGGAAATTATTCGAATTATTTGATAATGTATTCAAATTTCGCGCTTTCCAGCACTTCAGTTCACAAATATATCGATAAAGAACCGAACCAGTTTCCATGCTCATTGGAGCTAGTTCAGGTTCATTTGATAAGAAAGGGCAGAGTACGGGGCCAAAAAGAAAATATCAATATATATCAATGAAAACGTAGCCAAAACACCGCAAAATAAACAAAATGCTGGAGAAAAATAAGTATGTGCCGCGGGTGAACCAGGTAAGCCATATAAGCTATCTAAAGAGGCAACAAATCAACGCTGTTCTCTTCCCAGATAGACGCAATTGCTCTCAACAAAGATATTGCCCGACTTATACGCGATAATCTTATGGAGAACCTGCAGGCGTTATCGGTGGGTGCAAATAAACATACACATAGTCCGTGCAACAACTTCAAGACCCTTACTCTCCCTTAGCCCGTGCTATTCATCAAATTCCAGCCAGAGATCGATTTGCTCATACAATCGGCGATTTGGTTCGGATCTGTTGGCAAGCGATGCTCCACATTTGGCCAGCAACTACTTGTCCTAGCCTACGATGCAGAGAAGCTTACTGTTTCCAGGCTAGTCCTCCACTTCGCCCTCACCGTCCTGCCCGGCTATGTCAAGAGCTGGGAGGAGCGAAGATTTGCACGGCGCGTCGAGTGGTTTAGCCAGGCCATAACGTGGGCGGAGAACAGCGCCCTGGTTCTGAACATTCTCAACTACTTCCGGTTCCTGAAGACAGGACGGAAACCCACGTTAATCGACTACTTTCTGGGTCTGGACTATATTAGTCTGCGCAATAATCAGCGACGCGATATTGGATACAAGTACCTGACGCGCGAGCTGCTCTGGGGCGGATTTATGGTAACTATTTCTGACCGAGATATGTGGTGGTAGCATCTATGTAACTTGGGCAATATTCTTTTGCAGGAAATCCTGGGACTCGTTCTACCCATTATTAACTTTAGAAAACTACAAAGGTTGCTCAAGTCTTGGACTTCTGGGCAGCAATTTGGTGGCCGGCGGCAGGAGATGGACACCAGGGAGCTTCTGGCACCAAAGATGATGGTGGGCACAACGTGCACCTATTGCGGTGAACGTCCCACGCTTCCCCATCACATGGGCTGTGGTCATATCTATTGTTATTATTGTTTGAGCGCAAATATTCTAACTGATGCAAGCTTTTGCTGCACCATTTGTGGTGTTGAATGTGCGAAGGATGGTATCCAGAGTGTGTGATTGTTAAGGATTGTTTGCATACAATGGTTTTATACAGATTTTATACTAGTATTAAGCGAATAATGGGCTGTAAACAAGAAATACAAAATATATTTACCTTTTCCGCCAAATGTGTGTATAGTATTGGTAAATGGCACAAAAAAAGTGTTGGTAGTCAAAAACAATTTATATTTGCACGAGATAGCCAAGTGGCGGAAACTAACAACCGAATTTCGTCCTATAACGCACTTCTAAAAACATTCAAATAGTTTTAATCGACGCCCGCGAGTGTACTGAATCACGGAAAGCTGCTGGTTAATTGAAAACTTTCATCAAAACTAAATAAAAAGGTAAAAACATACGCGTTGTGAACAGCGGAAAAAGCGCGCGAAAATACTGCAACAGCTGTTGCGTTCGTAACTGGCGCTGCCACCCTGCAGAAAAGATAATAATTAATAATTATCTAAAGTTATTTACCCCGTAAAAACAAAGTTTTAATTAAGCTATTAAGTATATAAAGTATATAAGAAAATGAGTCGTAATTTGTTGTTATGCTATTTGGCAAAACAGCTGCCCATGGCGGTCCGGCAACGCCAGCACTTTGTTATTATCTCATTTTTTCTGCTGCGCATTTCGCCTTTGTCCGTTTATAGAAGAAAACATTACGCCTTTACATACACTTAAGTTCGTCAGAAAAAGCCAAGCATCTAAAAACTATAAATTTCGGTACACATTGCGTAATTGCAAGCAAGAATTCCAAGGCGTCAACCACGAAAACAAGCAAATTTCAAGAGCAAACAATTAAGTTGAAAATCCAAAACGAACCGAGACAGTGGGCAAATAGCACAAAATACTGTGCGACGCGACCCCAGCCAGCAACAAATTGCGTATATATTCGTGGGGCAGCAGCAACAGCAGCTGATTTCACATATCAAGGTCAGTAAGGTGGCGATTCGCAAACAAAAACCAGCCTTAATATTAAACAATCCGTCCTGTCCTCCGTCCAATTTGTCTCTAGCAGAATGCTTGAACTTGAGATTGTGCCCGAGAACTCGATGAGCTGCGATGCCTGGGAGTTTGTCCTGGGCATGCACTTCTCGCAGGCCATCTCCATCATACAGTCGCAGGTGGGGATCATCAAAGGTGTCCAGGTGCTATATTCGGACACAAATCCACTGGGCGTGGACATAATCATCAATCTGCCACAGGATGGTGTGCGCCTGATCTTCGATCCCGTTGTGCAGCGTCTGAAGACAATAGAGGTGTTCAACATGAAGCTGGTGAAGCTGAAATACGGTGGCGTCTACTTCAACTCGCCCGAGGTGTTGCCCAGCATAGAACAGATCGAGCATTCGTTCGGTGCCACCCATCCGGGCGTGTACGATGCGGCCAAGCAACTCTTTGCCCTGCACTTTAGAGGACTCAGCTTTTACTTCCCCGTAGATAGCAAGCTGCACTCTGGATACGGCCATGGTCTTGGCTCCTTGGTCTTCCTGAATGGTGCCTCGCCTGTCGTCTCCAAGATGTCGCTCTATGCTGGCAGCAATGTCGCGGAGAACCGTGCTCCTGCACTGCCCCTGGGCTGCTACCATAGACAAATGTATCTCGAATCGGCCACAGTTCTGCGCTCTTCCTATGGCCACACCAAGGGCCTCAAGCTGAATCTCTTCACGGAGGGTTCTGGCCGTGCCCTGGAGCCACGTCGGCAGTGCTTCACGCGCGAGCTGCTCTTTGGAGACAGCTGCGAGGATGTGGCCACCAATCTGGGTGCACCCAATCGCATATTCTTCAAGAGCGAGGACAAGATGAAGATACACAGCTCGAGCGTGAATCGGCAGGCGCAGAGCAAGCGCAGCGACATATTCTTCAACTACTTCACGTTGGGCATCGATGTTCTCTTCGACGCTCGCACACAGACCTGCAAGAAGTTCATCCTGCACACCAACTATCCGGGCCACTTCAATTTCAACATGTACCATCGCTGCGAGTTCCAGTTCCAGCTGCTGACGGACCACCAGCACAGTGATAACCTCGATCTGATGACGCCCTCAAAGCAAGACTATGTGAATATAACTGCCTACACCAAATGGGACGAGATCAGTGGGTCGTTGTCCACGTCGGAGCGGCCAGTGGTGTTGCATCGTGCCAGCTCAACGAACACGGCGAATCCCTTTGGCTCCACCTTCTGCTATGGCTATCAAGATCTTATATTCGAAGTGATGCCCAACAATCATATTGCCTCTGTGACGCTCTACAATACGGCGCCGCCCCGGCAGCCCGCCCACACCTGGCAGCAGCACAAAATGCAGGACATTCGCCTGACCGTGGCCTAAAGCAGGTGCCTCCCCACAGGTCATCTCGCTGCTATGTGGATGCGGGCTCTATGATGCTTTTTGTGTGAGGGGGATGTCGTATCGTGTCGTGTGTTCTAATCTATAAGCTACCACAATGATCTAACCTAGGCATAACGTAGATACATAGTTACATACATATATATATATATATATATATATATACAGAATATATATAGAATTTCTATTGTAGGCTAAGCAAAACCCATCAGACGACTCATCATCTCTGACCACGTTCATTCTGCGGTATTCCATTGTGTTAAGTCGATTCAATTCGGACGCATAACAATTGCATGTCGTTAAAAAATATTTCAATACTTTTAAGCTCAAACCCGTGTATTTCTCTTTAAAAAAGAAACAAACAAAAATCGACAAAAAAAATATACATAATATATATATATATATAATTATAAGGTTTCGACAAGAAAAATGTGATGGCCTTTTCCTTTCTTATACGTAGTCCCGACTTAATATCGTCCGACTTAAACATGACTCTTAATTCTTGCAGTCGGTTAGAATGCCAGAACAAGCCACAGATCAGGAAACTGCTGTGCCCCATCAGACGGCAGTGCCTGCCTATGATCCCAAGATCCTGCCGGACATGCTGCCTGTTTACTACAGGCGTCTCTTTCCGCATCAGCCCTTCTACCGCTGGCTCTCCTACGGACTATGTAAGTGAATCGTGCCCAATCCATCCCTCCCCCACGTCAACTACGAGCCTAATCCTCTCCATCTATCTATTCTGTAGCTGAGGACGGCGTCTTCTGTAATCGGGAGATATCCTTCACCCTTCACGATGACATCTACATTCGTTATCTCTGCTTCGACACACAGGCGGAGCTGGAGAAGGAGATTTGCTCGCGTAATCCGTACAAAATCGACATTGGACCCGTGATGCACACCAGGCCCAAGAACTTTCGCGTTATCCCGGGCGGTCTGACGCCCGTGCAACGTGAACTGGTCTTCGATATCGATATGACGGACTATGACGAGGTTCGTACCTGTTGCTCGGGTGCCGAGGTGTGCCTCAAGTGCTGGAAATTCATGGTGCTAGCGGCACGTGTCTTGGACCCCGCACTGCGCGAGGACTTTGGCTTCGAGCACATACTCTGGGTCTTCTCCGGGCGTCGTGGCATCCATTGCTGGGTGTGTGACACACAGGCGCGTCATTTGGATGGCCGCGGACGCTATGCCGTGGCGGAGTATTTGAATATTGTAAGCTTCATCAGTTTTATGGGCAGCAACTCGCCGAGATGTCAGATGGGAGAGCGTCCCCATCACAGCTTGAAGCGTGCCTTAAAAATAATCGAGCCCATGTTTGAGGAGATCGTACTGGAAGATCAGAATCTCTTTGGCACGCCCAAGGGTGTCAATAAGCTGCTGCACATGATCCACGACGACGGAGCCCGCTCAGAGTTCGAAGGGTATCTGCAGAAGAGCCACGAGGATGGAGCCCATTCCAGGTTGATTTGGGAGAGCTTCGTCAAGTATTCCAATTCCATGCGAACCTCGACGTCCAATGTGTGGAGTCGCAAGCTGAAAAACATTGTCCAGGAGGTGCAGCTGTGCCTACTCTATCCGCGCCTGGACATCAACGTGACCAGGGGATTCAATCATTTGCTGAAATCTCCATTCTGCATACACCCGGCCACGGGCAAGGTCTGTGTGCCATTCAGCGTCAGTGCCGTGGGCAAGTTCGATCCCACCACGGTGCCCACCATCACCCAGCTGCTGCACGAGATCAATGCCTACGATGACAAGACCAAGAGCTATATGGAGGCCCCCGAGGACAAGAGTCGCATCAAGGACCACAAGAAGACCAGCATGTTCAAGGGCGTGGTGGTGTTTGAGGAGTTCCTGCGTAAGCTGGAACGCACCAACAAGGAACTCATGCACACCTTGCAGTTCTAAGTAAATGGATGGATAGCAGTGGATTGCGATTGCGGCTTTTGATGTTACTTTTATTAATGTATTATTATGATTAGGCTACCAACAATAAATAGACTAAACGCTTGCCCGTGAGCTCTCTTCTCTCTCCCTCTCACATACAACTCAGCCGCACCTGCGGCACCACATTGCCGTCCTTGTCATTAAAGTTGACCTCCACCTCCAGTTGAAACAGTCCGTTCTCTGCGGCCGCTGTGCCGGGCAAACTAGCCAATATCTCCTTGTCTCCAGTCCGTATCTTGAACAGCGACAACTCATTGGGGCCATCGCCAGCCTCGCCCGACTGTGGCAGGGTTATTCTGATTTTTTGTGGCAATACGCTGCCCTTACCCAGCACCAGTGTGGCATTCGCCTCGTCGTCGCCGTGCCAAATGTACAGATCATCCTCGACGAGCACACAGTCGTCGGCCTTGTGCAGCTGCTGCTCGAGGGGATCAAGCAGGCAGACAGCCTGACGGGCACAACCAATGGCCACCACTTCGTCGGCCGAGTGGCTGTTGTGGAGCTTGGCATCGGGGAATCGCGAGGCGACAGCCGCCTGGAGCTTAGGGATCTGCATGGTGGCGCCGAGCAGGACAATGTGGTCGACGCGCTTCAGCTCTGGGCGCTTTTGCTGGGCCTGTTCGATGCATTCGGCCAGCTGCTGCATTAGGCTGTTGATCACCGGCTGGATGAGACTCTCGAAGCGAGCACGCGACATCTGGGCGTTGAAGTCCACGCCGTCCATCAGGGAGTCGATGTACAGCTGAGTGGAGGGCATCGTTGTCAGGGTGTGCTTGCAGTTGGCAGCTGCTGTGCGGATTTTGGCCAGCGACCGACGCGACTCGTGCGGATCCAGTTTGTACTTCCTTTTGAACTCGTCACAAATGAACTGCACCAGGGCCTCGGTGAACTGGCGGCCACCGATGGCGAACGGCCCGAAGGTGGCCAGCTCGATGAAGAAACCATTTTGCACGGCATACAGGGCGAAATCGCTATACAAGCCACCGCACTTAATGGTCAGAACATGCTGGCGCGTCGCCAGCTCATCCTCGCCAATGTTGTAGCCCAAGACGGCCGCCGTGGGCTCGGCTATAATCTGAGCCACGTGGAAGCCGGCAGTTTCGGCAGCGTCTGAGAGCAGCTTGAAGGCCTCTGCGGGATAGTAGCTGGGTATGGATAGCACGGCAATGGGAGCCTGATCCGCATCCGTATGGTATTGATGGGCCAACTCCAGTTCGGCGCGCAGCAGCTCCATCGTGACCTGGTAGGCACTCAGCTCCTTGGTCACAATTTTGTCGTCTTGGTCTTCCTTATCAGAGGGCACCGCGTGCTCCATTCGGAACACGAGCTCCTCCTTGTCAAACTCGCAGGGAATACCCTTCAGGGCATTGGCAAAAATCTCCTCGGTCAAGTGCTCTTTGGGCTGTAGCAGCTGGAAGCTGTGTGCCACCGCCTGTTTGGGCCGTGTGGCCATCTTCTGTTTGGCCGTCAGACCACACTCAATCTCGGAGTCGCCATCCCACAGCAAACACGCTTGCGAGACACGATCGCCCTGCTTGTTCGCAATGACTTCAGCCTTGCCATCGGCCTTTACGTAAGCAATGCACAGGGTGCTGTTACCAATCTTGATGCCAAATCGCGGCCACATCGCGTTTCACTTAATTGAGTCGAAAAAATACTCGGGAACTTATTAATAATTTGTAAAATCTTAGTGTAATGTAATCTAAATCACGCACGTTTTTTCCTCCACGCGCGGTAGTGTTGTCAGACAGTGTGCTGGGTAACGTGCACAGATTTACGAGTAGTATTGTGAAACGCGCAGCAGCTGATGCGTATCGGTATGCAGCTCTGATTAGTTGCAAGTTGTTGAGCACTAAGCGCTAAGAAATATGTAAACAAAACAGTTGGGGAAAATCGCAGAAAAATCATTAAAATCCACGCAAAAAACTAGCATTAGAGTGTGTAAGGGAAGTTGTAGTGTCAATTGCACAGGTGAAACTACCGGAAGATATATGTGAAGTGGATTGTAGAGAAGGAGTCTGGCAAAAAAATCTATATGCAAAGGCTGCCCGATCCGATCACATCCCCGCGACGGTAGCAAACTGTTGACCCCAGGCCAAGCGCCACCCCACGACACACACAGAGAAGTAGGTCTTGTGGCACATACATGCGCATGTATATGCAACGCAATCAACGCCCCCAAACCGTCCCGATTCGTCATCGATTTACGCGGTGGCCCAAGCGACACAATGGAATGGATGTTACTCCGTTGAAAATAAAACAAACCTAATTGATAGCGAACGAAAGCGATTGGAATGTTGCCCTTGGAGCAGAAATAGAAATTGATTTGTGTACCTGCTCGAAAATGCGCATTTCATAAGTTGCACAGCAGAACTGCATAAAAAGAATCGCAGACGAAGACTCCACACACACACACACGCACAACCACACACAGAGAGAAAGGAAAGCGAAGAAAATCCTCGGCCCAACGGCAACCTTGAGCGGCCACAATGGATGATAATCTCAGCACAAAGTCGTCGGAGTCCTCGATAACGACCAGCGGGGAATACGAAATAGTCACCGACAGCAATGTCGCCAGTCCCACGGATCAGTCAAAGCGAGCTGTGGCCCCGGAGCCGAAGGAACCAGGCGCAGGCAAGCCACCCACTTCGCTGAGTGCCTTGGCGCTGTCCTCTCCCGAGGGAGGCGGTGATCGATCCCCCACGCTGGACATGGCACACAATCGAAACTTGAGCGATATTCAGCACGAAATGACGGACGCCCTGCGGGACCTGGAGCTGGAGCGCGGTGTAGGTGAGTACAGCAAGAACAGAACTAAAGGTATAGAAATTTCCCCCCGTACCTACGCTCAGTTGGCTGCCAGACACGGTCCGATCCGCTCCGCTCCGCCAGCTGTATACACACACCAGCTGAGCGCGCTCTAAAGTGGAAACGTAAGCGGGTCGATAGTAAGTAAAGCCACCCAGTTGCAATCTTATCTGGCAAAGCTGTGGTACACCGATGGCAGAGGGTGTCATGGCAACAAATAACAAACAAACGTTGAGTAAACCCGCCCCCCCAGACAGAACTTTCGATACATTCAGTTCAGTTCCAATTATTGCTTCTCGAGCTGTGCACTTTCCTCGTAATTGTCCCAATTAACATTTTGAATTTTGCTTCAGCTGCCGGCGATAAGACGACCCAGCGTGTACCGAATCATCAGCAAAAGTCTCTGACCCTGCCATTAACTGGCACTGGCACTGGCACGGGCACGGGCACAGACCCCGAGATGCGTTTCCCCTGCAACATATTTACGCCCAAGAGCGAGGAGGCTGTGGACGATGCCTCCCACTCAGATGCACACAATCGTGTTGGCCATTCAGTGTTCTATGACTGCATTGATGCGAGTCCTGCCTGCGTGGAGGAGAAGCAGGATGCCATGAAGCCTGAGAAAGGCGATACAACCGACGAAGAGGGTGGGTTATCTGTCCCATTCGCACATAGACAATGCCCAACTCTACATAAGAATAATAATAATCCATTGTTACAGTTTCAGAGATCGATCAGGGCTGTACCATTTTCTCGGGCGTCACCTACCTGGGTGCCGCAAACATCAATGCACCCAAATCCGAGACAGATGTCTATCGCATTATGAACGAGCTGAACAGTGGCTCAAAGTCTGTGGGACTCAAGATTACCGTCAGCATTCCCATCTGCTCTGATGGTCTGGTCGTGTGAGTAGAGAGAACTTTCCCACTCCCCACCCGAATGTTATGTGATTCATTCTTCTTTTGCATCCCTTTGCAGGCTTCATGACGCTGAGAGCAATACGATTATAGCTACCTACGAGATATCCAGCATTATTTTGTACTATCGCGGACCCGTGGACACGGCGGAGAATGGTTGCTTTGCCTTCACTTGGCTGCACGGGGATGCCTTGTTCCAGTGCCATGTGTTTCGTTGCCATATACCCGAGGCGGTGAATCAAGTGAGCGGTGAGTCAGTTTATCATCATCATCATGGGGGTTTTAGCATGATCTCATTTGCTGATTTGCATTCCTCTGTTTAGCCTGCTTCCAGAAAGCATTCCAAACGTATCCGCCCAGCATGAGCTGCAGCCTCACATCGGCCGTGGACATGGCCAACTCTGTGACATCGGATGTGAGCGGAAATCCACTCAACACGGCTGGCTACGAGTTCATTGTCTCCCTGGAGATACGCGAAAAGGTGGCCAAGAACTCGTACGCTTCCGTACCCCGGGATCGGGGCTGCTTCAAGCTGCGAGCGAATACGGATAAAGAAGTGTGCATTACCGTGAAGCAAACGCCCTCCAATGTGCTCCAGCCCCTGTACATTGAGCGCTGCTTTGGTGTGCTGGTGGCCCCTGGCAAACTGGTTGTCCAGAAGGATATGCATCTGATTGATCTGCTCAACATGGGCTATGTGACAGCGCCAGGAGCGCCAGCAGCAGCAGCTGGAGGAGGAGCAGCAGCAGCGTCATCAGCTGGAGGGGGAGGAGCAGCAGCGGCAGAGTCCGAGAATAATCTGGCGCTAAATTCTTGCCTGCCCTATGCCATACGAGCCGAGTGGAAGGCCCAGGAGAAGGCCTTCGAGCAGCTGAATCTAGAGACGTCCAAAACCAATCTGACCGTGGCCGTGGACATTGTGATGCGTGGCATCCAGGAGCCAGTCCGGTTCGTGATTGAAACCCCAGTGACCATACAGTCGGCCAGCGAGATGCGCATCATGGATCACTTCATGTCCAAGCGCCCAATGACGCTGCGCTTCTACTTGCATCTCAAGCGCACCGATGAGCTCAATTGGAAGGTGAACAGCATAGATCCCTCCGAGGAGATCACCGATCATCCGGGCCCACAGGCAGCCTCCTCGTCCCTGCTTAAGATGGGCATGAACAATCTGTCGCGCATTGTGCGCAGCACGTCCATTGCCTCCATTGAGGATGATTGCCCCACAGACTACAGCAGCGATGGCGATGAGCCGCTGCTGAGCGGCACTGGCGAGGTGTCCAAGGACTGCTCGCAGGATACGCTCGATGAATGGGATCCCATACTGCGGGAATGGGACAGCGAGAAGCGGCCCAAGCATCTGGCTCCGCTCGTGCGTCTCGGTGTCCCAGAGGCATTGCGTGAGAAGATCTGGCAGAAGCTGGCCAGTGTCGAGGGCAAGGTGGAGATGAACGACATGTACAAGATTCTCATCACCAAAGTGAGTAGTTTTCGCGCCCGCCCCCAAATAATCTTTGCAAATTCTAGTGTAAATCTCTCGTAGGAAACCAAATGCGAGACTGTCATTCAGCGGGACATACATCGCACTTTTCCGGCGCACAAATGCTTCAAGGAGACCGGCGGCTCCGGCCAGGATGCGCTCTTCAAGGTGTCCAAGGCGTATGCTGTCCACGACAGCGAAGTTGGCTACTGCCAGGGCCTCAGCTTCATAGCAGCCAGTCTGCTTCTGCATGTGAGTAATTTATGAGAGCAGGGAACCAGTAGTGGAATAGCAATAATCAAAAATCAATGGTTCTGCCAGATGCCCGAGGAAGATGCCTTCTGTGTCTTGGTGGCACTCATGTATGACTACGGGCTTCGCGATCTCTACAAGGCAGGCTTTGAGGTGCTGTATCTGCGGCTGTATCAGCTGGAGCGGCTCATCAAGGATCAGCTGCCCAAGCTGCATGAGCATTTCACGGCCTGCGGCATTGAGACGCACATGTACGCCTCCCAATGGTTCCTCACGCTGTACACGGCCCGCTTTCCGCTCTGCTTTGTGTTCCACGTACTGGACGTATTCCTACTGGACGGCTTGCCTGTGCTCTTCCAGGTGGCTGTGACACTGCTATCCATCTGTGAGTCCGATCTGCGACAGCTGGACTTCGAGGGCATACTCAAGTACTTCAGGGTAACGCTGCCCAAGAAGTGCCGCAGCTCCAGCCAGGCGCGCAAAGTGATGAAGCAGGCGTGCGAGCGCAAGATCAAGAAACTGAAGCAATATGAGGAGGAGTTCCTGCTGAAGAAGCAGCACAAAGAGCGCCTGGAGAAGGAGGCGCAGATCTATGAGAACCGATTCGGCGAGGAGCGACGCAAGCTTCAGGCGGAGATCGATACGGTGACCCAACAGCTGGCCGTGGCCAATGAGCGCGCCGTCGATAAGGAGAAGAAGCACACTGGCATCATACAGGAGTACAAGCAGATCATCCAGCGCCAAGAGCAGGACATGAACACGCTCAGTGAGACGTTGAGCAAGGTGATGGTAAGTCCCTGACATTTTGCCACACAGAATATCCTGACTAATGGAATCATTTGGATGCAGCAAACGGTGTCCAAGTGCCAGCATTGCCTGCAGCAGATCGATGGATTCGGCAACGATAATGCCAGGTCCGGCGAAGGCCGCTCCAGCCGGCAAACGGATGCCATGCGCAATGCCAATGAGCCGCCTCTGGGGCCATTGGATCCACTGAATGCCGCCTCCCATCGCATACGCGAACTGGAACTGGAGCTGGCCCAGGCCAAGCTGGCGCAGGTGGAGGCCGAGTGCAAGAACCAGGATCTGAACCATCAGCTCAACAATACACTCAGCGAGCTGCAGACCAATCGCAATAGCTGGCAGCCGTGGCTCTCCAAGACGTTCAATACGCTGCAGGAGAAGGTGACCACCCGAAGCGGTAATCGGGACAATGGCAGTGGCGGACCCACGCCCACATTCCAGTCGTACATGGGCCAGCCACCGACCACCCTCAGCGAGGCCAGTTCGCCCAGCGGCAATCAGGTAACATGAGGATCATCGAACCTCACGACCAAACCCCTCCCATCCATGACAGGACAACCGCTGGAGCGTCACCCAGTTTTCAATGTATAATTTTGTTTATGTTTAATTTGTATCTTTAAGTTTGATCCCTCCACTGGTATTTATCTCTCAGAGGCAACCAATGGGGGGAATACACTCGCATTAATTGTTCACCACTCACCCCATGACATACCCTTGAAGAATCTTATTTTGTAGCCATATTTATATCTGTATCTGTTGACTATATCGAAGAAGCACTGACCCACTCCTCAACGCGCTGCCTGCTGCTGTTTCAGTTAAAACCTTTTGTTTGTTTTTGTTCTTATTAATAGTATTGATATTTTTACTGCTGCAAATAAAACCTGCCCCCCCTGCCCCATTTGTATATTTAATGAACGATTTTTACGATTCTTGTCACTGGATTGCTGCCAACAGGAGTACAAGACATTTGCATTTGCCTCGGTGGGCGGATCGCCGAAGTTGCCCAGCAAATTTCAGGCCACCAAGCTGCGCAACAGCATCGACAGCCTGAGGAATATTGTGGTGCCGCTGGAGGCCGGCAAATCGCTGGCCGAGAATCTCAAACAGCAGCTGGCGCAGCAGCAGCAGCCGCAGTAGAAAACATTCGGATCGTGGATCCTGGCTAGCAGGCACTCCCTCCCACAGCATTGACTAACACGCCTTGGTATTATTTATCATATACGTCTATATAGTACATACATATATATACATATACATGCTATATGCCATAGTACTCCACATACATAAATAGAAATTAATAGTTCGATTTTTATGATTATTTTGCACCTTTAAGGCACCCGCCCCCCCCCAAACACCCAAATGTCCCCAGAGTATACCAAACTGTGGCTCATACACAGTTTTACTAGCACTGGCAGAAGCTACACGTCTAACGCTACTCTAAATGAATAAAATATCCATTTAAATGCTAACTAACCGAGTGTTTGCTTTATTCCACACGTGGATTTGGATATATATATATATATATATAACACAGAAGACTACCCCCCATTCGCCCACTAGAAACCACCCGGGACATGCACTCATAATACTATCGTTCCATTTCTCTAACCCATCCCATTCCATCCTCTTTTTATATGAAGAACAAACGCTGCAATCCTTCGCTTCGCTTCTGCGGTGTGGACACTGCCATGGCCGCGTAGTTCATCAGGAGATCAGCAGATGAGCTGCGCTGGATGAGGCGACGTCTGCCGGCACCACGAGCATTGCTAAAGGAACGACTTCTCACATGGCCACGCCGTCGCTTGGGCCGCTGGGAGACGGCTCCGAAGCAGGACACCTGCTGCTCTGCCTCACTCTCGCTCTCGCTCTGCTGCGCGTGGGGCCTCGTTTCCTCCGTCATGGGGGACTGCAGCGTTTGATTGGAGCAATCCACATCGGGTGTCACCGTCTGCGATTCGCTGTGATAACTTGCTGCGCCAAGCCGGGCCCGCTTCCCGATGCTGCAGCTGGAGGGATCGCGGGAGAGCTCGGAGCCAAAGTTGCTGCTGCTGCGCTCGTGTGGCATGTTGGTGCCGTAGCTGAGAAAGTCCGGGTACGGCAGATGCAGCTCATGGGCTGCCGTGAACGCCTCGGGCGAGGAGAAGGTGTGCCGCAGCCGCTGCACCCGATAGCTCGGCCCATGCGGCGTCTGATGCACCAGCAGCCAGGAGCGCTTCAGATACGTGTGCTCCGTGCAGTTGCTCGCCTGGGACTGTTCCTGGTTCTTCTTCTGGTTCTGGTTCTGGGCGGAGGTGAGTGGACTGCCGACTGTGGTGGAGGGCAGGCCTAGAGTGAGTGATATGTTGAGAGAGTCATCTCCGTCTCGGAAGGCGCCGTCGGTGCCGTCGTCCGCCGCACTGTTGGGCGTCGTTGGCTGCGCCTCCGCTCCACTCCCACCGGCTGTGGATAGTTCACGCCCATCGGATAGCGGTGGCGGGCTCGTTGAAACCCCCACGGATTGGTGCGTGGAAGGGCGCTGCTGGTCCGCTGCTGTTGCTGCCGGGCCAGACGCGCCTGCAGAGCCTGCAATTTGGATTCTGTGGGTAAATTAGCCGCTGCAATGGGAGGGAGGTGTCTCTGGGGATCGTGCACCTACCACAAATGGCCGTGGCCAGAAGCACCCTCTGTGCCATCTGCTGGCTCTGCTCCGCATCCTGCATGGTATCCGTGGCAGCCACTGCGTGAGTCATGGCCGCCGCCGAGGTGCTGGGCTGATCCTCATCCCTGTCCAGGCTGCAACTGCGGTGCAGCGGCAGCACGGACTGCATCGTGCAGTTGCTGGGCGCGCGGCTGCAGCTTCGATCCCGCGGCTGACGACGGGCTCGACGCTGGCGCCGGGGCTCGCGTAGCTCCTGCTGCATCCCGATCTTGATCACCTCCTCGTAGTCGGGCGGCGCCTCGTAGCTGGGCGGCTCATCCGGCGTGCGATCCTCGTCCTGGCGATCCAGCAGTTCGCTTATGGTCTGCAAGTGGCTCTGCAGCTCCCGCTGGTGCCGCGCACGCACGCCCATGCGGTACAGGATCACCATCCAGCCAGAGAGGACGCCAAAGATGCCCAAGGTGCTGATGATGAAGATGCCCGTGGCCGTCTTCAGATCCGGATACTGGTCCATCTTCGGAAAGTAATAGTTGGGCTTGTGTGAGTACCAGCGGCGATCGTGATGCAGGTGGGCCCAGTCCTCCTCGCAGGTGTCCGGCTCGTCGCTTCCATCGCCGCAATGATCGAATCCGTCGCAGTGCAGCCGAATGGAGATGCAGTGGTTATTGCCGCACAGAAATTCGGAGCCAATATAGCAATCTAAAGCACAACACAAAAGATTAGAAGGAATAGAAGAATAGGTAATCCCTTGTGGCACTCACTCAAATAGTTGAAAACGCTGTAGACAATGGCCAGCTTGGAGGGCATCCCAAAGACCCCGCGCAGCCGTATGTAGTACCCCGTGAGAATGGGTGCAATGTGATTCTCCTTGCTCAGCCCGTTGTTCGGCCACGATACAGTCTCAATTTCGACGCCATCGGAGGTGGTGCCCTGGCGCACGGTGAGCTCCGAACGCGCTGCCATGCCATAGAAGTCGTCCACCCGCAGTGAGATGTGGGTCTTCATCATCATGTAATTGTTGCCGGGCTTGATGATCCAAATGCAATCGAACAGGCGCACATCTGTGGCATTTTCGATCATGTTCATCATGGTGATGGCGCCACCAGGTCCCGTCACCATGCCGCCACAATCTGGCGATAAGAAATGTGTGAAAACTTATTCGATTTTAGGTAAGAGCTCTGAGAGAATCACCCACCCCACCAACACCAACCCCTTATGTGTTACCCAACTGAAACCCATGCAAGGGTCTCAGGTCTCACCTGAAAACGCTCGCCTTGACATTGATATTCGTCGTCAAGTGGCACCACCCCAAATTCCGAGAGACCAAAATCAATATGACAATTGCCTGCAGACCCACAAGTGCCCAACTAATCCACCAATTATTCCCCCATCCACACCCACCCCACCCCTCACTCACCTGTGTAGGGCACTAGGCGCTCCTCTTTTAGCTGCTTGGATGACACGAAGCTGACTTCGGCGCGGAAGCCAACGCCTGTGGCAGCATTGCCACGGAACTGCAGCAGCAGCGACTTGCCACTGCTGATGGTGATGGGCGGGCGAAAGTGCTCGCCCGTGTAGGAGTCCAGCATCTGGCCATTCGAGTCGAAGATCTCCAGGGTGGAGGAGAGGCCCAGCTGAAAGTCGGTAAAGTCCAGGCGCACCTGGCAGCTATCCGCCTCGCACGTGAGAATGTGCTCGATGCCATAGTCCCTGGGATACGGCATGGGGAAGTACGGTGTGGATATGACCTGCGGCTGGTACTTGCCATTCCCATTGCCCACAATCGACTGCCTTGGCGAACCACTCACAATCCGCACGTTGCCTGGGGAACAACCAAGATTGAATCCACACTCAGCACATGCGATTCCCGGCTGCACTTACGTTCGGAAAAGTATTGCAGCGAGAAGACATGGGCATTGGTGGCCCTGTAGAAGAACTTGAGCTGCAACGTCCGCGTCTTGCTGCGGAATACCTTGCCGTCGCCACAGAACTCCTGCCCGGAGATGGTGGAATCGTAGGGCGGCTCCGAGAACTGGATGTGCTCGCACGGACACATGCTGGACTTTCCGCCAGTGTTGCCGCAACTCTTCGAGAAGTTGGCGTGGGTGAAGGTCACTCGGATGACGCACTCGGCGCAGGTGACCAGCTCCAGGTTGCACTGGTACCACACATCCCCAGCCACGGCATCGCTCTTGAATCCCAGCGGCGAGCTCTACAAACGGTGCATGATGATCGGTTCTTGAATCTTTCCCTTGCACTCACTCTATACGCCGTGTTGGTCACATTGCGGGCATGCAGCTCACCGGCAGGACTCCCGAGCTCGAGAAAGTGCCGCCTGCCATCCCAGTGATTGCATATATCCAAGTCCCGATAGCTGGCACTGGCTGGATAGGCATCGCCGGGGTACCACAGCAATGTCAGCACATAGGCCAGCAAGTAGCCGTAGGCCACTGTTTGGGCCACCATCGCGCGCTGCTCCTCGTCCGTATCAATGATGACTGGCCAAGTGCCGACGCAAGACTGTGCCGTGGCCCAGTGTGCTGCCAAATCCAATAAGGCTCGGTATCCAATCCACTGAGAAGCCTAACAAGTGGACCACATAACCGAGCCCTGCCTTGTGTGGGTGGGTGGCTGGCACTGCGACTGGGACTGGGACACGGGCCGAGTTTAAAGACCTCTCGGGGGGTGGGGTGGGGGCAGCTCTTGTGTCGGTATAAAAATACATTTATTTGAAATTTTCTTTTTCGTTAGACGTTAAGGGGAATATTGAATGCGGATGGGGTCTCGCAGAGACAATGAACATTGAAATGTGCATCGAGGACACAGCAAAGTAAACCTAAGACATGCACATTTTGTATATAGTAAGTGTTTAGAGTACGGGCCGAAGGCGACGCTGAGTGGTTGGTTGGTTGGTTGTGTTTTCCCTTAGAGGTGCGCGGCCTTCTGCTCTGGGTCGTGTCACTTGGCAGCGGCGGCGCTCTTGGCGAGAGCTGCCTCCAGATTCTTGGCCAGCGTGTCTATGAACTCAAAGGTCTCCTGGTAGTCCTTGCGCTCCACAGCGGCGATGCTGCCCTTGATGCAGATGGCCAGATCCTTGGTCATGGCACCGCCCTCGATGGTGTCGATGCACACCTGCTCGAGAGTCTCGGCGAACTGCTTCAGTGGCGTGTTGTTGTCCAGCTTGGCACGGTGGAGCAGGCCACGCGACCAGGCGAAGATCGAGGCAATCGGATTGGTGGAGGTCTCCTTGCCCTGCTGGTAGAAGCGGAAGTGACGGGTCACCGTGCCGTGAGCGGCCTCAGCCTCGACAGTCTTGCCATCGGGACAGAGGAGCACGGAGGTCATCAGACCCAGAGAGCCGTAGCCCTGGGCAACGGAATCGGACTGCACATCACCGTCGTAGTTCTTGCAGGCCCACACGAAGCCGCCCTCGGATTTCATGGCATAGGCAACCATGTCGTCGATGAGACGGTGCTCATACCAGACGCCGGCGGCCTCGTACTGCTTCTTGTACTGCTTGTTGTACAGATCCTCGAAGATGTCCTTGAAGCGACCGTCGTACTTCTTCAGGATGGTGTTCTTGGTGCTCATGTACAGCGGCAGCTTGCGGTCCAGCGCAAACTTGAACGAAGCGTGGGC